GCCAGTGACTAAATCTCCTTTCTTCTTGAATGGTTCACTCACCTTAATCCCTCTATACTGACCACATATAGGGAAATAAGCTGGTAGGAAACCTTACTGGACACCCTTTGACAAATGATACCCATATGGTGTTACTGATGGTACCTCTTGTGGTATATGAGGTTGGACTTTTCAGGCAACACAGCGAGAAAGCAAGAAGTTGTCTAGCACATTGTTCCCAACCTGCGATTGGTGCAATGGTGCTGGTCTGCAGAAGTTTTTTTTTTTTTTTGCCAGTCCATGAGCAATTTGCTTCAGCGTAATAAAATTATCAAAAGTAGCAATGAATTATGTTATCTTCATGTGAAATTTTGAAAAGAGAATGGTAGTTTAACTTATCTGATGAAAAAAGGTGACTTTTTTAATAATAACACTTGAAACAAATGTTCACCTGATGAAACAAAATATCTAAATTTTTCATTCAGAGAAACATTTCCCCCTAGCCCACCTTTATAAATTTTCAAAAACAGACCACTATAGCTGCATTATTGGCTTTTCAACCTTAACCTAATTTGTGCAAAAAAGTGGAAAGCTTTTTAATCTTGCCATAAAGTCTTTGTGGCATACATTTTTGCTGAGTCTGCAAAAATTTTATGAACCTTTGCTGGTCCACAGAATATTTTTTGGAAATTTGCCAGTTTGTGGACCAAAAAAATTTAGAATATCTCACAACAATATGATCCATATCAGAAAATTTTCATTACAAAAAGGTATTGGGATCTTTAAAAATAGCTTGTTTATTCTGATGCATAACATTTTAATAGTAAGGCTCTAATAAAAGTGAGTAACCACAAGAATTCTTTTCGAAAACGAATTTGTTGTACTGAGATATTTGTTGTAACATACATATGGATTCAGTAGCTCTGTTGTGTAAATCCCTCCATTATTGAATGATGCATCAGTGCTGTAGGGCACCAATGTTGCCCAAGATTACAAGTCCGGTTTTCAGGACAGAAAAACCTTCAGAAAATTACTTCCAAGGTGGAAATTCCAGGTTGGAATTTCCCCATTGAGCAATAGCCTTTTTTTTCTTTCCTCCATTTTCCGTTCAGTTTCTGTTGGCATCGCATCAGAGCTTGCTAATATAGTCATCTTACTCAAGTGTGTTATTTTATCAAAGTCGCATTTGTCAAAGAAATATATCATCTCAGTTCTTTTGGGATAACTACCGAGTTATCCCCTGCCGACTTCACCGGCGGATTGTGTGTTCTGATTACAGTATTCCATTTCATTTCTTAATTCGAAATTTTGTTCCTTGTGGGCCTTTGCCCTGCAAGTGCGACAAAAATCGCCAAATATTCAACTCTTATTTTTTTTAAACTCAAAATCTGATCAATTTTTAAATTTGTGATATGTACCACCAACAGTCAGCATGTCGCATTCACGATTTTTCCCAAGCCAGGTAGGTGAATGACTGGTGCCCAGCCAACGTGAAATATCGCTTAGGCTGAGCCCAAAAGAATTCGCTTTCCTGGTGGGTCCGCTCGTCTCCATATGTTGCATTTACAACTTGATCGCCGTTAAGAGAGAATGCATGCACTGCGAGTAGCGCATTTTTTGCTCATTTGCACTCATCTGCTTTTTTATTTTTATTTTGTGCGTAGGATTCCGTCATCGCCTGTGGCCCCGACAAACGTCGTGATGCACTGCACCATGCAGTAATGCATGAAAGCTTTGTTTTTGCTTTTCCAGTGGAAAAAAATCAGCAACATTGTAGGATTAAAGCTAGCGGCGAAGGGCAGTGACCGATTCATTTATTAGCGCGTTTTTTCTCAAGCCTTTTTGTTGTTGCGGGTAAATTTGCATTTGTTTCTGAGAGCCATTCAAAAAGTTGAATAAAAATATAAAAAAGGTAATGCGGAGGTATCGGACACTTACGTGCTTCATTATTCGTCTTTCATAAAATTCCATTTAACAATTACGTCCTCACGACGATAAAACATGTAAAAATATTCTTAGAATTAATCCTATACAGAATACTTTTACGAGGGTACACGGTGTGTTGAGCCAAAAACATCAAAAATCCAAATCGCTATCTAATTCGTGGCCAATTCTGTCAAGCCCAATGCAATTTTAAGCTCTCTCTACTGCAATCGGAAGTTTTTGGTCAAACCTTCCTCAGCAAATTTTCAAGCTTTTGTTGCTGTTGCGTTGGGGCTACATTTTAGAATGTCTATTCCACAAAAAATTCTGTGAAGGATGAAAATTGGTATAATAATTTGGCCAGAAAACAATGTCCTTTGACTATCGTACACATACTGTATGCAGTATATTTGTGGAATCACTATGCAGCAATAAAATTTAAACAAATTAACGATGTGAAAATATTATCAAAGAAAGAATCAATATGCTTTTCTGTATTCGTCAGCTATTAAATTTTAATAAATTGGTTGAGGAAAGGCATGATTTATTAAAAAATTTCGAAAGGAGGGAAAAGGCTTATACAGTACAGTATTTCCTATATAGTGTAGGTGCTGATAAAACGAGTAGGAATTATAAAATATGGCCAGGTTTTAGCTGTACAGTACAGTATCTTGTACAGAGTATTGGGATACAATATTAGAAAACCAGCATTGTATGCTACGTTCGAACATATAAATCAAGTATGATGCATCGGCTATATTTTTGAAACTCCAGTGAATGAACAAAGAATACGTATCAGAAGCAAACAATGGATGGAAGTCAACCAGAAAAATAATATGACAACCATCAGCAGCGTTGGAAAAAGAAGAGAAATTTGAAAATATGTACTGTATCTGGTTTAAAGTTGACATGCTCTATACTTGATTAATTTTTACTGTGGGTTATTCCTTCAGGACTCTCAATGTTAAATTTATTAAATGTAATTCTCTTTTGTGCTGAGTACAGGTGATGGTTTTTCTGCAGCAGTATCCTATCCTGTACTATCAAGTGTTACGCTATCTGCACCGCAAAAGAAGATAGAAATATTGAAGACATTATTTGAAAACTATAGATGTCACGTCTCAAAAATCAAAATAAATTCTTCCCTCTAAATGAACTTTGAAGCAAAGCGTATATACTTGGGTAGAATTCCAGAATATTCCAACCACAGGAAGCCTGGAATACGGATACGAATAACACCTGGAATACTTCTGTGGGTGTGTGGAACTGTGACACTGCAAATTTTTGCACGAAGTAAAAGTAACTCAAACTCGCTTCATCGACGTTCGTTTTTTGAGGCCAAATTTGAATGAAAAGACCAAATGAAAAAACGACAGAAACTTCATTGGTTTCACATACCATCCGCTAAATGCACAAAAACAACCGAAAATGCATAAGGTGACAACCATTGATGTCGTTCAAAAATTGAACCAACAAGATTCGCGACTTCTTGACTTCACCATTTCGACAGTCGAAACCGGAGCAAAGTTGACAAGAATAGTTTGCCTTTTCGGTTTGCTTGATTGGTTTTGCAAGTACACTCTAGTTCATTTTGTATAAGAGGATCGTTTTTTTTTTCGATACGTATGGTAAAGCATACAGGTAGGTGCTTGGGCGCAGTAAAGGCTCCTCTTTGGAAGACAATGATGAAAACTTACCCGCAAGAGAATACTGTACCGTACCTTAGTGGACCTTTAAAGCCTGGGTACAAATCTGAGGAAGACTTCTTTCAATAATGGGCACCAGCACAAAAAAAAAAAAATTGCTCGAGTATTCCCAGGAATAGTTCCAGATCTAAAGTTCAGACAAACGCGAGGATTGCCCCAATGCAAGGAAACCCTCGAAGTTTGAGATTACAAACAAAAAAATTAATAGGATCAAATACGATGAGAATGTTGAAAATCTGTTCCTTTGGAAGACAGTCTGAGCTTCACTTTGCTTCTTCGGCAAGCACGCTTTCTAAAGCATCAAGCAAAATGTCCGCATGATGGGTAGTGAAGTTCAGCGCCGGCCTCAGCCTCAACACATCTATTCCACATCCCCCGACCTGCACACCTTTAAAAAAACATTAAAAAACATATTTTCCTCATAATCTTGATGAAAATGTCTTCCGAAATCCAGCGACACCTACTAAATCGCGAAGAAAATGAAGGAGAACCGAACATCGGGCAATTAAATTGAAAGTGTGAATAATTTGGCTCGACCCGATTCAACTTTTTAACCAACGATCTAGACAATTTCAAAATACATCATATCCTGTCATTTTGAATTCGCGAGCCCCAGGAAAAAATCCAAAGAAAACAACGATGATTCTATAAAACGCTCGTTTTCATTTAGCAAGAATAAGATAAAACAGCAATAAATATTCGCTTACTTTTCGACTGACGATTATTTAAAAATGCAGCATATTCTATAATTTTAAATTCTTGAGCCCCTGGACAAAATTCGAAGGAAGCACGATTTTTTTACTTATTTTGTAAGACGCTTGTTTTCATTTACCAACTAGGATATGAGTGCAATAAATTTCGCTTTCTTTTAGACGAGATTATTTAAAAATTCAGCATATCCTTTACAGTAATTCTAAATTCTTGAGCCCCGGAAAAATTTACACGGAACAGGATTTTCCAATTATTTGTTAAAACAAGATGTCTGTTTTCATTTGCCCATTAGGATATTACTCCAATAAATTTTGCTTGCTTGACTGATTTTTTTTTCGTACCTTTTTTCCTCAATTTATGGATCAACCTGTCCCGGCGCTCCACGGTGAAACAGTTGACAGACAAAATGAATCCCAGCCCACGTGCGGAGTTGAAACAGTTTGGATAACGAGCCTGAAGATCTTCAAGTGCAGAAAGGATATATTTGCCGGTTTCAGTCACATTTTTAACGTCTAATAGTCAGAACTATCAGACGTTTTGACGTAGGTTGTCGTTGTAGAAGGGCCCCAGGGGGTAGGTACACAACTTGTGGGACATAGGAACGAATCCAGATCCTAAGTGTTGTCTTGGTGTTTTATTTGTTTATTGTCCCCAATGAGGGAATTGCACGAGATTGAAACCTCACCTGTATTCCTTTTTGAGGTAGAAACCACCAGTCAACATTTTCTTGCTGAATGTAACAATGTCAGGAGGACCATCTAGGTTGTAGTGTTCGTGGCACCACATTTTCCCGGTGCTACCACAACCAGTCTGGACTTCATCCACAATAAAACCAATTGCAGCCTGCAATCGGCATTCAGGATTTTAAACAATCAAGCAAAAAAGGTGGAAATTTAAATTTTGAAGGCAGGGAGTGTATAAATTCTGTATAATCGAAAATGTTCCACCAAAGCGGAGGAGAGCGTTTCTTGCACTACCGGGGTGCAGTATTTTTCCTTTTTAAATCAAAACCCAATGTGTGCAGTATTTTATATTCATACTTCACAACCCAGACTGCCAAGATTGCATCCCCCGATTTTTAGATCGATCAATGCAACCTTTAATCAAAGATTGGCCTACCGGAAACAGTTCGAATCGTTGTTCTAAAAATGAATACATAAATTAAACGATGAAAACATTGAAAAGTATAAATCAATACATGAAGGAAGTGCAATATAACAATGCAAAGATTAAATGTTTTATTCAACCTCAAAAGCCTGAGTACGTGGTTTATTTCTCGCTGTACTCCCTGATTCTTTGCGTTTGTAAATTTACTCATGGTGCAATTTTTCTGTTTAACCCAGCTCGCAAAATTTCTATCGTCAGGTAAGTGCGAGTACAATATTCATCTCGACCGAACCTACATTAAGCTTTAGAAAAATCTGATGAAATCTAAGAGTATGTTGGCAATAAAAATTCCAGGTCCTGAGGTGTTGAGGAAATTGCCGTAGGTTCTCGGTTATTAAGATTCAAGGGCTAGAGACCATGAAAACAAAAAAGCAAGTTTTGTGTAACACATTCTTTGTTTCTTAGAATGCCGTGGTTATAAGTAGAGAAGGCTGTGGAAAGAAATAAGAAGCGAAGAAGGTCTCCTAGAAGAAAGTATTAATTATCCTTCATTCATGCACTTTACATCTGTTGAGTGATTGAATCAGAAAAATATTTTTTCTGTCTATCAATCTTTTGTTCTTGGAAGTTCGTCCTTCAACATGAGGTAGAAGCGAGAACAGAAGAAAATTGAAGGTTTCGTCGTGTTACATTAGCTTAGAACTGTTGAACTGGCTCAGCATTGAGGCGACACCTGCCTGACATCCCAAAAGCAGGAGTAAACAATGCAGTACTGTAGCATCTTCCGTCGACCTCGTTTTCAAAGAAACAGAACAAACCTTTTTCGTTATAGCCTGCAATTTTCGCAAGAAATCGGGTGATGGGTGATGATCTCCTCCTTCACTCTGGATTGGTTCGACGACAACCCCTACCACGTCTGTACCCGTGTTCACCCTTTGTTCAATCAGCATCTGCACCTGAAACAATCAAGGTTGATTTCTTCTTAACAATAGCTATTTTTGGCTGCTGGAAACCGGGACCGTACTTCCTCCAGACATCTTCGATCCACTATTTCGTTTTCGCTCTTGAACTCTTCCAGTGGATATTTGTAAATTGGAAACGAGGCAATGGGCCAATCAAATGCGGGAAGGTCCAGCTTGTGAACTGGCTTGGAATGGGTTGTCGAGAGAGCCCCGAAAGTCCTTCCGTGAAAAGCACCTTTTTTCAACGAAAGAACCCTGACTCTCAACTATCATAAAAAATTTAATGAACACTTAACTTAGTGCCAAGGTAAAATTAGCGTCTTCGTAAGTATATTAAATTGGTATGCTTGTTTAAAAAACAAGACTTCATTCGAGCACTACGAGCTGCATAATTTCACTGCGTCTCCATAAATTTCCTAATTTTTGTGGCAGTATAAAGGCAATTAGGCCAGTAAACATTTTTACTCCACGGAAAGAGAAACAAATGATTCCAAACTTAACAAACACAAGTGAAGTGCTTGGGAAAATTGCTCTACATTTGCCAGATAAAAATGGTGATACAAACCACTTGTCAAAAAATTAGAACTAGAGGTGGACTATCTGTACAACAATCTTGCCTACAACGATTTTCTCTACACAGTATAACAAATATTTGGCCCCTTAGGGTTCTCTACCCATGAATTTCGTTGTAGGGAACTTTTTGAGTTGACTTGCCACTGGGTGATGCTCATTTGATTTCCAACCAATTGGGTATGACTCTCGCCAGACCATTCACGATAAAATGAAAATATTTTGGCATATATTTCAGTTACTATACCTTTGAAAGATAATATAGAGTAGTTGGGGGACCCTGGAGGCAAGTTGATCAAGCAAGTGTCTAGATCAATCTGCGAAAAGTCGGCTCCACCGCGTTTCCTGTCGGCCATATTCATCATCAAACACTTGAAGGCGTTCTCATTCGAACACGACCCACACGCCATTGTGATGACTTCGTCCAACCCTTTAGGCGCCACCTGCAGCGCAAACAAGACGTCTAAATCGTAACACTGAGAAGAAAACCTTCAAATGGAAAGTCTTCCACTCACAGACATCAGGGTTTTCTGCAGCAGCTCTGGCCAGTCGGCAGAAGGAAACATTCCCAAAGCGGGTCGGTTCACAAAAACTGCCTGAAAAGTACAGTCAAATCCCAATAAGCCGCCAATTTAATTTTAAGAATACGGTACATCTTTCCTAACGGTCTAAATACTCTAACAGCATTGGAAAGCCCGTTGAAACGCCATCCGCCAAACTTATTGACGACTCAAATATGCTCCTGCCGATTAATTTTGCTTTTGATAGCCCGCCAACGACATTCAGTTTCTACGAAGTCTCCAATTGAAAAAAAAAACACCAGCGCGAAATATCAAGATGACATAATTCAATTCTTGGAGAAATTAGCTAGAGTTAATTCACACATTCCAGGATTATTTCGATTATTTTCTAGAATGATAATTTCATGTCTTATTATACTCAATTTATTAATTTAGCTTTTCTAAGAAACCCCTTTAAACCGCGAACCCCGTTAAACCGCCACAAACCTGACGACCAAATGGTGTCGGCTTATGGAGGTTCGACAAAATTTCAATTCACTTGAAACCGTTGCGTCGTACAACTTTTCCTGAAAGAGATCTCTTCTGGGAAGCAAGCTGCGTGGAGGTACTGTAGTTCATAAATCCGGGCAAAACGAAGACAACTTTTTACACAATCCCAGCTACAGTACAGTATATGAGGTACATATGAGTAGGGCTTCAGCAACCGAGAAAGTTTGCACAGCTCTCGTCAGGTACGAGTACGACGTACTCTGTCTTAGTCCCAAACTTGAAGCCAACCTATATGGATTACTGTATACAGTTTTTAAATAAGCGGAGTAGCCATAATGTTTCAGATGAAAATACCGCGAGCAAAAACACAATTCAAAGGCCGTACAGAACCGCTAAGAATCTAACTTTCATTTTAGCCGAAATTCAGATTCTCGTATTTCTATTTCTTTTATATTGTTGATTGAAAATAGGCTTTGCATTTTTTCCAGACTGAGCTGTTTTTGAGGGCTTAATACTTACTGCATTATCGCGATCGGAGGCGACTTTCATCAATGCCGGGTGGCTGTAGCCCAGGGGAAGGGAGGCGATTTGCGTGAAAGTTAGTTCGTTATTTAAGGGTAGTTGCAGTCGTCGCATTAAAGGATACCTAAAGAACATCAGGTACTTGTCCCTGTGCGGTGGTCAAACGACCGTTTAAAAAAGTTGTTTTTAAGTAAGTAAATGTTTCAATATTTATTTTATTTCATCAAATATTATACCTGCACTTTGTCGAGTTCTTTCAGCAAAGCTTGGGACTTGGGTCCGGGGACATCAGCTGTCACGATTTTGGGGGCTCTCGGTTCTCCGGGAATTGTTGCAACCGATTGGATGCCTAAAAATGCACAAATAAACCCGCTAACTTCTTAAAAATAACTTTTACCAGCTGCAGAACTCACTCTGAAATCTGTAATTTATACTGCGCGGCCGAATACTGGTTCGCATCATGTTGCCCACCAAAGTCATGGAGAACCAAGTGCACATATACTGTACCTGAAGTATACAATTCTGTAGCAAAAATGATAACGATGAAAATTCGTCTAGTTCTTTCAAATTTCAAAACATATCTTTTTCGCAGAATGTCTATGCAGCGTGATATTAATTCAAAACAAAGGCTGGTTTCTTGAAAAATTCTGCGCATTAACACGTTTTTCCAGGTCATTGAGCTTACACAGGGAATTTTTCAAACAGGAACAACAACGAAATCACTGAGCATCTCGTTTTGGGACAAAGAAAGTTCATGTACTGGATTCCGGATAATTGTCCCAAAACAACAAAACCAATCTTGACGGCTTCACATCAACATAACCCGCAATGCGAGACATTGTACGCATTCAAAAATAAATCTGAGATGGACGGATTACAGTTCAAAAGCGGCTTGAGAAAGATCATTCAAAATCGGAAATTCTCTGTTGAAGATAAAAATGTTCGGCTCAAGTTTAAGGTTGCTTTGAATTCCAAGAGAAAACCTTATACGCACATGATTTTCATTCAACTTTCACACTAAAACATTTTTTAAAAATGTGCAGCAAAAATCCCGTCACCATAGGATATTGTATTTTAAAACGTTACGCATGAGTGAAAAAGCCCCAGAGTACATTTCCATCTCGAATCCACAACGTTTGACATCACCTGAGAAAAGTATAGTATGTGTAAGGTTTACGACTATTGCGCTCTTGGGCTTTTTTACCGTTACGGTATTAAATGAAGAAAAAGCGCTAGTGAGTATAGTTTTACGCCATTGGCAACTTTATTGGCGATGGTTATACTCGTACAAAAAAAAATGCCGTTTTTCTGAGATCAGTTCCTCAAAGTCCAAAAATATGAAGCAAATTGTGTTCTATCAGTTGCATCAAATTTTTTTTTCTTAGCGATTCATTTTTCTCTTTGATCACATTTTCAAAGATATCTTCGTCTTCAAGAAACGTGCTGTATTTTAATGATGATAGCGCGTCAACATTTTATTCGCTCACGAGAAGAGTGCTCCAAGTTTGATTTTCCAAAGAATAAAATTTTATTAACCAAGAAAAAACGTGACATTCAAAAATGCCTCGTTTCCATTTGCCATTCACTACAGTACATTGAGAAGTTTATCGTGCAAACATTCAATTACGCAAGGCGTTCATTTTCCGGGACTTTTAAAATACACGCATAAGTTTAGCATTTTCTCCTGATATTTCAGCAAAAATAAGGAAGAGACTTTCACACGAGTGAATGTGGCACAACAGTATTTCTAAAAGAAGCAAATTATTGGCGATATCGAAAAAAGTTCGTTCTCGCTCCCTTTTTTTCCTCCTCATGCGTCTCGTCTCTCAAGACGAAGACAAATCAACATTTATTTGGGTATACAAAGCTGTCTTCTGTACCGAAAGCACGGAATATTTCAAGCTACTCAATCCCTCGCTCAAAGATCATACACATTCCAAATGCTGATAACGCGAGAACCCGAAAAAATGGCAATGCCATAATTTACTTCTTTTTCGCGATCACTCATATCAAAATGCGGTAACCGTTGAAATAACCGCTACCAATATGAGCACAAAAAAAATGCCGTTTTTCTGAGATCAGTTCCTCAAAGTCCAAAAATATGAAGCAAGTTTTGTTTTATCAGTTGCATCAATTTTTTCTCAAGGGCTTATTTTTCTCTTTGATCACATTTTCAAAGATATCTTCGTCTTCAAGAAACGTACTGTATTATAATGATGATAGCGCGTCAACATTTTATTTGCTCACGAGAAGAGTGCTCCAAGTTTGACTTTCCAAAGAAAAAATGTGATTAACCACGATAAAAACGTGACATTCAAAAATATGTCTCGTTTCCATTTGCCATTCACTACAGTACATTGAGAAGTTTATAGTGCAAACGTTCAATTACGCAAGGCGTTCATTTTCCGGGACTTTTAAAATACACGCAAAAGTTTAGCATTTTCTCCTGATATTTCAGCAACACGAGTGAATGTGGCACAGTATTTCTAAAAAAGCAAATTCTAAAAAAGCGATATCGAAAAAAGTTCGTTCTCGCTCCCTTTTTTTTCCTCCTCATGCGTCTCGTCTCTCAAGACGAAGACAAATCAACATTTATTTGGGTATACAAAGCTGTCTTCTGTACCGAAAGCACGGAATATTTCAAGCTACTCAATCCCTCGCTCAAAGAGGCTTGCTTAAACCTCGCTTCCCCGGGTACCGCCTTCTTGTGCACCAGCATCCGATAACGCGACACGTCCGCCTCAAACCTCTCGACACTCAATCCCGCCGCCTTGAACCGTCGTCCCAAGTCGTCGTCTTCGCCGCCCCAGCCCGCGTATGACACCGGAAATCCGTTCACGACACGGAACTGGTCCACGGCTACAGCAAGAGCCCCGCCGACGATGTCGGGATACGGAAGCGTGTAACGAAGGCTGCTGACTGCCACTGACATGTGACGGGGTTGCCGGGTGCAGGCATAAATGTTACCCAGGTTCTCGGGAAGCAGGTCCACGTCGTGAAACACGTAGCATCTGCTCGGATTCTTTTTATCCGAACCAAGTATTTTCTCTGTCTGGCAACGGAAAATGTTTCTCTTGATTTTATATTGTACAAACGTTTCCATTCCGAACGGCAGTCATATCTACTTGCTCAGAATACAGTACATGCCCAAAAAACTGTTTGAACCTATCCCCAAAAGTGAAATTAATCTAATTAATGTACAACTATCTACAATAGTTCAAAATCTCAACATTTAGATTTTAAATATGGAATCACTCAAGTTTGCGCAATTAATGTTATCGTCAGTTGAATGATCTCCGGTTTTCAAAATTTATTCAATTTTTATCCGCGAGCAATTTTGTTTTTCAGTTTTGGACTTTTGGGAACGAATCTCTTACAGTAGTTCAAAAGTTCCCGTACGTCTAAGCAGACCAACACTTCGATCAATTCGTTCATAGTAAACACAAATATAAAACGAGTCTTTCTTGAGAAATCTAGATTACGGAATCGAACAAGTTAAAATTTGAGTGAATCGAAGAAATACAAAATCATGCATGCTTTTAATAATTTCGAAGCATCCACAAACTAAAGTACGGTACATGCGGTAACTGTACGGTACAGGTGAGCCTTGTTAACTTAAACCTCCCTAAGTCAAAAACCCTCCTAAGTCGATTTTTTTTCAGGTTCTGTCTGAATCTCCTTAGAACTAATGCATTTAAAACCTCCCCAAGTCAAAGGCTTTTTCCCTCAAACCTCCATAAGTCAAATTTTCTGTGGAATGTTGGCTTTTATTTTCTTGACAAAGGCAAGCAAAAATGCAATAAAACATAAATTGATTTGTTTTATAATGAGGTGAGAGACTTGATTGGGCAAATGAACCCTGCCTCCAAGTTCAAGATGCTTTCAACCCATTTAAGAGGTAATTTCAGCCTTGGAAGACTACAATTTACAATGTTGAGCAATTTTTATGTTTCCCTACACAAAAGGGCTTTTTATTGTAGATAAATTCAAAACCTCCCTAAGTCGAATTTTTTTGCTGGTCCCTTGAAGTTCGACTTAGAGAGGTTCAACTGTATTTCAAGTACAGTAGTACAGTAGAACCTTGTTTGAACGATTAATTGATTACAACACTTTTTTTTTCAAGTCCCTGTCCAATAGCTGCAATGTTAGCCAAAATTGCACTTGGGTTTCTTTCTGTGAATACAACCAGTCATCATCTGTACTCCAAGTACATGTTAGTTATAGCCAAGCTATAACTTCATGTGAAACCCACCCACTAAGCCACCCTGTACCTTCTCTGGAGAATGGTTTTTTGCAAACACGTGAGTACTTCTGAAGAGTGATGTTTGTGGCTACTTGGAGTATGCATGAAGACTGGCCATATTAATGTAAAGAGAACCAACTTGGCTATAACTAACCTGTCCCAGTCTGACGCTACGCTGGACTGGGACTCAGCTTTTTGAGTTGGCTTACAACGAATTTTCCGTTAGAACAAAGCTATTTTACCAGTCCCAATGGCTTCATTGTAACGAGATTTCACTGTAATTCATGAACTCGGTGAACAAACACTAACTTTTTCATGACACGTACATTAGGTGAAATGCCTGCATTACTTAGTTCATAGTACTGTACTCCCGTAGTCAACAAGTTATTGGCAAGAAAGTGATTGAATGAAATCTTAGGTTCAAAATGTTGTTGAATTTAAAAAATTATAAAAACAAATTAACATGAGAAACGCTTAGAAATTACACACGGAACATCGAGGTCTATCTTCATTATCAAACCATGAAGAACTTGAAATATCCGCATAATTGAGTTTTTATCGAATTTTTGAAGTAATAAGCTCTTTTAAGTAAACAAAAACGAGATTAAAAGCCTGAATACCTTAAATAATTTAGTTTGTTATCACGAAATATGTTTACCTCCAAGAATCCGACATTAAGTAAAGCCCCTCTGTTGAACAATTCTTCGTCGGCTTGATTCACAATGACTATTGAATACTCGAGGCCTTGTTGGGACAAGAAATTGTGCATGTGTTTGACGAAGATCTTCAGCTGATCTGGTCTCCGTCTGTATGGCACAACGATCACCGATTGGTACAATGACCTGTGAATACGCAAATTTCCCGTCTTCAAACACCGGTGACGAGAACCCACGAGGTTCCACATAAATCTTTTAACTTTCAGATGCGACTATAAGATGCGGTACATTGTCATTTTTAATTTTTTGGAACGATGAATTAATTTTCGAAAACCTCAGCACTATAGAAATCGACCAACGGCAGAAAGTCATACAGTATTTTTCTCCGGAAAAATGTTAATAAATAAACATGAACAACTATTCAACGGCATTGACCTTGAAAGTTGTATTCTTGCGCGAAGTTTGGAAAAGATTAAACGAAAGTTGACAAAATAATTCATAAATTGTATTGGTTTTCACAAATGTTCCACCGATTAGAACGCACTTCACAGGCTCTCTTGATTCAAGAATACTGAAGGGGGATTTAAACATTTCGGTACAATATTTTGTTCAACACTACTGCAGTATTTTTACATTTTTCGATTTTCGACCATGTAAAACTACGGCCATACCAAAAAACTACGGTGGACCGCTTACTCGAGCGCGTGGAACTCGAGTAAATGCGGTAATTCTTGAAGCGTATTTGTTCAAATGTTTCGGGAGAAAATGTAACTGGATTTCGTCTTTCTTTTTCTAATTTCGTACTGGATTTTTTGCAAATAGCTTCAAACGTGTTTTACATACAGTAGTGCGCAAGATAATTGTAAAAACGAAAAGAAACTCGCCTGCAACTGCTTGGATTCCATTGCCCACCGGCTCGAACGTCAAGCTTTTCAGCCAAATCTGACAATTCTTGCTCGTGCGGCACAGTTTCATTCACTTTCACAATTTTCACTCCGGGCAACGATTTAACATCACAGAAACGCGAGTAGTCCGCCAATCCCGGGTGCGCGCTTCGCAAATTTTCGCCGATTTCATCCCTCGGAATCGTTGAGTAACTCCAAGGAAAATTGTTCAGAAGGCCGATAATGCAAAGAGCACAAAACACTGACCAGTGACTGCGGAGGAAAGAAAAACGCCCCATACGATCTGACGCATAGGGAATGTGGTCTGGAAATCAAAAGCTTCTGCTTCAGATCGAAATCTGGGACATCCGGAAACTTCTGAAAACAGCTTGAATATGCAGAAACACTTTTTTTTAGAAAAATACCAAGTCCAAAATACGCCATGCAGAAAAGGCCAAAAGGGTGGGTATTTTTAAGCAGGAGCTATAAGTTTTACAGCTACTTCAGATTATAAAAAAGGAGAATCTTCCAAAAACCGTTGAATTGAATATCATTCTGCAAACGTTCCCAATGATGTTCAATTTTATGCCTCAGGCTGGAAATATACGTCCACCACCGCCATTCAACCACAGAAACAAGCAACGAATGTGTTCCTTTATTACTTCTGCTTTTTGATTCTGCCAATTCTCTAGATTTGATAAATTCGGGTTCCGTCTCAAACTAATTCCCAATTCGACGAGGTTTCCAGCATAGCACCCACTTGACACCATTTCAGTGATAACATCTGGGTACAAGAGTAGATTTCTTCCAATCCTCTTTTTTCACTACCAAATCAACATCGAGGAAAACTGCCGCAAGCCGTTGTTTGAGCACATACTCATACTTCAACCTGAACTTGACAGAATCAAAATTCGAAAATAAAGTAATTTATTTATTTTCTAGAAGGGTAATTTTTGCAAATGGTCAGATCATTATTCAAAAGAAACTACATTTACGCAAGTACCATGCACATATGTTTTCGTTAAAATTGAGGTAGAAGAAAGGAGAGTGCGTGGTATGCTGGTACAATATTTTTTACTTTAAAAAATCATGAAACTATACTGGTTTAAGTCAAAAGTTAGTAATGGGTGATTTAAGGATAGTAAATCCTGTTCGGCTACAATCCCGTTTCAATGGCGTATGTTCTTCCATTTATTCATAGGGATATTTTGTTATGAATGATTATTTGGTAAAAGTGAAGTTGAATTTCCAGCCAAAAAAAAAACTTGGGTGCACATTTTATGCAGGGATACATTTTTGCCTGAATTTTGCGTCAAAAAATCAAGTTGCGAGTCTTACTTGAAGGCTTGTTGTACTCAAGTGAATGTGGTAATTGAAATATATTTTATTCGACACTCTTCAAAAGGTCAAAATGAAGTTATTTCTAACCTCTCGAGATCATTCAGACCTAAAAATTCTGCATACAGGTACTTCTTTTCTGAACCACCCATTGCATAGCTCTGGAGTTGCATTTGGTATCTCATTGCAACACTGGGATGCATGCACGATTTTTTATTTAAATAAATGTGAGAAGTTTGCGGTTGTCTTCAGTCTGACAAGCCCAACCGACGCAAATATGGCATGAAATATATTGTTGTGATCTCAAAAATCGAAACTCACGAACAATGCTATTCCGCACCGATCCAAAAGCATCTTTCCATAACTGATGAGGATTAACGGTGACGTCACAAAATTCCAAGAAAAAAAGAACGTTCACGAAGAATTTTTCCTCGGAAAAGCCCATGCGGAACGTTAGCTTTGATCATTTGAATTCATTGCTTGCCACAGCAGGATGTACCAAAAAACGCGTTCGAAAAAATACATCAACGATAATCTGCAAAAGGATAGCAGACGCTGGCTGATTGTCGGCTCCATCTCCTCTGTGGAAAGGATGCATGTTCCAAACAAGATAATGCTCTGGTCCCGCACAAAATCCGAAGTTCACATTAGTTCCGCCACACTTCGCTGAAGAGTGATTCCAATGGCGTATCGTTTCGCCATTCCTAGCTCCCTCAGATTTACTGGATCATCCACACTTTTACACCACGCATTTCGCGAAAAAAAAAAATTTTTACGCTCACAATTCCGATTCCCAGTTCATCCCAACAGCAAAATTTCAAGCGCAGCATAGCACAAAATGAGTTTCTTTTTTTTTCTCCTCAAGAGTCATGAATCTTCTCGGATTCACCACCTTCTTGCCCCGTGATTGCAAGAATTGAAAACCGGTTCTCGTCAGGATTTGCGTCCAGTATACGCCGACAAACGACTGCAGCATCGCTCAGAAAGTTTACACTTGAAGATTCGCCGTGATCCACTAGTCCAGATCGCATTCCATCTAGTTCGTATAATCGACCTTCGCGGTGCACAAAGGCGACAAAGTGAAGCAGGGAGCCAGCCTGTGGGTCGGGGGCTGCTGTTTGACCTTCTTGCGATGTTTCGCGATGAGCCTCGGATAGCTGCTCAACCGCTTCCAGCGACGCCCCACGTTCCAACGGCGACATATCTTGCGTTCCATGAATAATCTGGGAAAAGGAAAATGGCACGTGAGTCGAGGATTTAGCATAATTCAAAAAGAATTATGAATTCGAGCAGTGATTCCCAACCTGTGCTCCGCGGAGCACCAAGGGCTTCACGGCTGCTCCAGGGAAATATAAGAAACGAAATGGGATTAAATGAAGAAATGAAAGTGATGAGGAATCAATTGAGTATTGGTCATGAAGGGCGATTTGATGGACTCAGAAGCAACTCATGAAAAAATAAGGACGACGACTACGACGAATGATCCATCAGGTTCGAGATTCGAGCAACCTATTCTACTGGGGCGGGCTCATATTTTTAAAAATAATTCAACAATTAAAATTAAATTTCATCAAAATTTTTCGCCCACCTAGCTTTAAAAAATACGAGGGTTAAAAGTGTCTGTGTAAGCCCAACATTGGAGGCAGTAAAATAAGAGGCGTAAAAATCTACTGGATCTTTTCTTTTTACTAGATTTAAATCGGCAGACATGACAATAAACGGCCTCTATGTGTCCCGAATAAGGAAACAATGCAACAAAAGCATTATCATAATTGAAAAAATTTCCCGCTTTTGTTTATCTCAAAACATGAAAACCGTTGCTCAAAAATCCCATTAAAAAATTAGCTGAGACTTAAAATCAGAAATTTGCCTTGTGTAGAATAATCTGCTTCATGGATTCCAACATGCGACAGAATTTCGAAGGATATTCCATCCGTCAAAAAGGGGATAAAATTGCAATAAAAACATTGGAGGCTTCATTTTACTTCGTTAAATACATTGTCCGAGAATCCTAGATACTTCAGATATTCCGTTGCTACTGGAAAATTAATGCGTGGAAGCAGTGGTTCTAAATTTGCGCTCCACGGGCTCCTCTGACACTTCCTAAAAAAATACTGTTATACTATTAGAATTAAAGATCATGAATAAGTGGAATCGAAGGAAGAAATGCACTTGTATTCGATACAGAAAAGAGATAATTTCAGCAGATTAACCTTTCCCTAGCAGCTGACTAGTTAAAACAGCAGTTCAAGGAATAAACTAATTGTCTTGTTTAAATGCAGAGCCAGACATTCGCCTGCACTGAATCGGACCCAAAGAAGGAAAGCGCATAATATGAATACACGTGTGACTCGTTGACATCAGATGCTGCACCGTTTACAGTGAAATATAATCGGTCTTGACGAATACATGAGCTGATCAAAAAGTGAAGGAAAAGAATCCAGAATAGAAATTACTTACTGATCCTAGTGGGGATTCCCGTGGAACATCTATATCCGAATTGGCCACGGCATGAATCAAAGCTATAGTTCCACAGGAATTATACACACTTTGTGTCATGAAAAACACCCTTGGTTGCTTCTCCGGCAGTATCAAATCCCCGGTCAGGTCAGGCCGAGGAATCCCGGCCGGAAGTAACAATATTAAAGCCGCCACGGGCTTCGGAATCATGCTTAGTAATTCCGGGTCCAAAGAAAACACATCACTCACAACCCACTCTTCCGGAACCCCGACCTTGTGCGCTAATCTCGTCAGAACCTCGGGGTTCGACTCGAGCGGAGTCCACATCTCCATACTTCACAATCGACACACCTGATTAACGGAGATTAAGCACTCTGAAAATCGTGAACTTCATCATCATATGCAAGTGACGAACAGACATCTCTAAATGAACACAAACCAAATACAGTAGAAGGAAAATTTGGCCTACACCCATCCTCATTTTCATTAGGAAATAGTAAGTCAGCCTCAATATTGAAAAAAAACACTCTCCAGAGACTAATTCAAGTTATTTTCGTAATTCATGCCCAATTTTCGATGAAGTAGAATGTGATCCTCTAGGTATTATGAACTTGAATTCATCCGGTGAACAAAATTAGTTTCATCGAATGAAGTTTTTCACATTTCGAAATCCCGAAAATTTTTCAGTTCACCTCAAGCATAAAAAACAACGGTATAAAACTTCGCCAAGCCTGAGCTGATCAATTTATTTACTGTAGATCATTAAAGTTCAAGATTATTCGAATAAAATTCTGACCTGGATTGTTAACATTGTCGGAAATTTGCAAACGTGATTGACAATTCCTTTCCAACATTCTTACGTTATGGCGTATACAGCATAGAACAATCATGATGGTAAGGAAATTAATGACCAAAAATTCAAAAACGAAACAGGAGTGAAAGCATCCATCACAGTTCATTCCACCTCTGCACAAGACTCGTAACAACAGTCACTAGCCGAACATCAATTGCCTTGGTAGGAATCTCAACTGTGTCAGGAATAATCACAGTGAGAACCAATAGCTGTTTTGATACGGATATACAGATACGTGCGAGCCGGCGGAGTTGAGACAACGTCAAGTCACCCTTTTCTCGCGAACTGCAGTGATCGTAAACAACTTTGACGGCCAACGAAGCATGAAAAAAATTAGGCCCATCCTTGTACAGCAACCAGTCCACTCCGAATCGCAATCCAGGTTTCACCACCCACCGTTTTTGTCTTAGATGCAAGTAAGCTGCGTACCTTGTTCGATCAAGTAAAGAAGTTCGATAGGATTATAAATTTCGTACTTCAAGAAAAAATAATCCAAACCATGCGTTATACAGCGTGAGCTTCCAATTTTCCTACGCCTTTTTGAAATTAAAAAAAATTCGAAACGAAAACACCGAACTTCTGAAAAGTTACTCAAGAGAAACGAACGCATTAAACGCGATACCCATTTCCAGTGTAGCTTTTCATGAAGGAAAAAAGTTTGAAGAATTCTTGCACAGATAAAAAGAGTTGATGGCTTCAAAAACTACCGTAATCTGGCTTTTTAATGCTGAATTTTGGTTATTTATTCTAAAATGAACGACCTGTTCGATGATTTTTGTTAAATATTCCAAACATTTTGGTTTCCCCAGAACAGTTATACAGCGAAAGATTTTCTAGTGAGCTGGCTGTAAGAAATTATAGGCTATTGGCAAAATTTGACTGATAAAGTTATTCTGTAAATTTTACTGCTTTACAGTAATTGGTTTACCCATGAATCAGGAGTTACTTGTAAATTGTAACTTGATTTTAAGATTATACCACCAAATTCACAGTCAAAATCAATAAATATAGATCTCACTGCTGACCGAGAAAACGTAGGAAGTTTACTCACCGAGCAAGAAAGCTGACATCACTGGAATTCAAAGCCGACCATAATTCCTCTAAAGAAAGAATTATGCCGTCATGTTCAACTTCTAAGCAACCAAGTTCACTCGTCAAGAAGAACACTTCTTCTGCGCAGAGAAACAGCATATGACTTGGACTACAAGACGATACCACTGACTGAGAGTTTTCACATTGAAATCTTCCTGCGAAATTGTCCTTCGTGAGCAATTCGGTTGGCAATGAATCGCCAATCGAATCAACGTTTCCGAGTTGACCTTCGAACATCTCGGCATCGGTTTCTGCGAAGGTTTCTGTATCAACGGTCGTAACGGCAGGTGAGAATTCATTTGATTCAGACAAACTAAGGGAACACAAGAATTGATTACTCGTTGAAAGACTGAACTGGACGCTGATTCGCTGAATATTTACCTGCTCAGACGTGAAGTGCAGCTGAACTTACAGGAAGGATCACTCCAAAGTTTACGTCGCTTGTGCCTAAGAATTATTAAACTCAAATCACTCTCGATATATCCCGAATATTAAAAAAAAAAATGAAACAAAAACTCACAGCATTTGTTCGGTTTCAGATTCCGCCACGAATTCGATCAATTTCCCAAAGCATCCTTGAGTATTCAGTATTTTCACGTCACTAGCCCTGGTAACCACAACTTCATTCCGCCGAAGAACAGCGCGGACACAAACATTTTTCCCATCTGCACCAGGGAACAGGTTCTTGGGATGGTCACTAGTATTCCGTTTGCGAAACGCTCTTATTTCCATATCTCAGCTCGAAAAAAAAATGTTTCATTATTTTGATTGACTGAAAATTCCTGGTTTTCATCAGGATTCTTGGCATAGCCTCCATCTTCACTCCTCGCCAAGCTTTAATTAAGTTTTTGAATGAAAAGGGAGCCTGCGGGGTCAACTGAGCATCCACCTCAATTAATGCGGACAATAAAATTTAGAAATACTGTAATTGCTATCGAACTCGCTCTGCTTTTTTTGTCGGTTTGAATTTTTGTGTAATTTTGACTGAAGTTTTCCGCGTTCCAGTTTGAAAAGGAAAAAAAAACTGTAAAGAGAACAAGGAATAAAGCGTTCGATGGAGGCTATTTTTCAAATGTATAAATCAATAAAATGTCAATTTTACTAAAGAATAGTAGAACTTTTTTATGGAGCACGTCGAGGATCAATTTTCCCAAGGTGTACCAGGGGCTTCAGTTGCTCCGCAAAAGCCCGCATGTCTTCACCGAGAACGGATTCCACTGTATGGGCTCTGGATGTTGCAACACTGAGTTCAACTAAATGAGATCCTGATATGGGTTCAAACGTAGTTTCCGGAGGATTCTTGTTCTGCGTCGTCAACATCTATAATATGAAATCAAACTTTTCAAAAATCCCCAATGAAAAAAAAAAAAAGCGAATGGACGACAATGATCTGTTCCCTATTCTTAACAACGTTGATGGAAACCCATTTTCTGCTCTGGTTCTCACAAAATTAAGAGTTTAAAATGCTATCAATAGCCAATGACTTATGCTCTAACGAGCTGGAGCTGCTGACGTAAACGCACCCCGTGAGTATTTTGGAGAAGTATGAATACATAATAATGGCATTCTTACGGGAAGATTTTGACGTTATCCTTAGCTGACTTTCTCTGAATTTTGTAGGACAAATATGTCATGCTGATGCAGATATATGGAAACTCGCTCGAATGCAGTAATCTAAATCTTGTTATTCGTATAATCCAAGTTTTTAAACCACTCCGTGCATAAGCCAAAAGTTCCTAAACCACTCTGTGGATAATCCAAAAGTATATTAAATTGCACATATGTAAAATTATAATGTAGCTGTCCCGTAATTAACACTTACCCGATATTGCTTAGCCACCGTGATCTTCATTCGCCCCTTTCTGAACATATGACCTTTTGCTACGTATTCATATTCAACTTGAAACCCGAGTTCTCGCAAAAATTCGCCAATATTTTGGCTGCAGGGAACGTCAATACAATTTCGTATGACTGTTGCTCGTTTCTGATCACCTAAATATAAAGAGAAACAATAATGCCCATATATGGATGAACGCATGTACAGTATAACCATTTTTCAAAGCATTAGTTGAAAAATCTTCAGAAATACTTGCGGAAAAAAGGCATTCGACGCGATTAAAAAAATTTAAATTCAGATAACAGCGAATTTTGGTTCGAGAGCAAGTCTCAATGTTAACGGCCAAAATCGCCGGATCAATTTTTATTTATTAAAAAAAAAAACTTCTTTGGATTAGACTCTCTTGCTTACGTATTCTAAGTGCTGTATAATCTAGAAAAAATGAATATAAAATGAAATTCCTCATCAGAAAAACGCCTTGATTTCCAAAATTAAATCGACAGTCCCGGGACTGTTGAATGAATAGTGAAAATATATTTTTAATTAAATGAAAGTTTAAAATCGCACCCATCTCCGGATTTCCAACATATCGTAAAATCCACGGCGTATTGTTGGGATCAATACTCCCACCGCTTAATGCGCGTCGAATTCTCATACTCAGCGGCTGCCCGGCGGAAGGAATACCCGAATTACTGGCCATGGGTGGGTCTAAAAAATTATTAAAACAAAAAAGATTATATAAATAGGGTTATAAAGGCATTGCACGAATATGAAGACTCAACTCACATAGAGTGTAGACCATTTCATGCTCATGGAAAAATTCTGGTCCACCAGCTACCGAATCACACAATCCTTGCAGGCGGTGAATCAACACGTCCCTGGAAGAATCTACCACACTGCCCTGATAATTAGAAAAAAATATTAATGATCAGATGCCCAAGTTATTCCTCGAAACGGCGCGCTTTTACCTGAAGTAGGTATTCTTGATCCAACAATAAATTCTGAGCGGATCCTGCATCGGGAACCGCCATGTTTTTATTTTCTCCTGTTAAAAAAGTTTTTAAATCAATCTTCACGAAGCCCAAGCCCATGACAATTATGAGAGATGAAGAGAAAGTATCCAACCTCATTGAAAAAGCTATGTTTCTCAAACATCACAAAAAAAACAGAAAACGAACAAAAATCACGCGGGTTTGTTGACCAGCTTACACATAAGCTTGGCACACAGACAAGGCAGTGTTACAATGGTCGGAAATGGAATCTCCGCACGGCAGCTATGGAATGGCAGTAATTTGTTGCGGAAAAGAAAATTTACAAAAAATCTCACATCCAACATATAGGATTCATCTCGGCATTCTCAGCAAAAAAGAGGCATTTCGATGTACTGTCGGTCACGTGGCACACTCGGACGGTCAACATTCAAGTGATCTTAAAATAAAAAATAAACTGATCGGCCGCAGATAACTATTCACCAAGTGAACACAAATTTTCGAAACACAGAAGAATCCATTGAATGCGGGCTTCGAAGCATGAACTAAAAATTTCACTCGGGTAACTCGTCGCGCCAAAAAGCAGCTGATGATCTGATAAATCGTTAATATACAGGTTGGCGAACTTCACACGCATTACAGCTCGCAACGAATTCGTCGAAAGAGAGCGCTTCTGCAGCGGGTTCATTTTTCCACTCTTCCAGTCGTTCCATTCTCTGTTAAAAATATTATTTCTCAAAACGATCCGTACCAGCGCACCCCTCGCACAACAAACCTTCTCAAGCATATCAAGGCTTTGAAGCATTTTCTTGAAGGTGAACTGCATTTCCTCCACAGTTTCTTTTATGGCCAGAAGTTTCTTATGACTGTTTTCCCAGTCGGCGATGGAAAAATCATTGCGACTTGTCGAGTAATGCAACAAAAATCCAATCCGAGAACTCTGACTAAGACGATCAAGGAGCCATTCAGCGTCAGACTATGGATGACAAAATTAGGTCGAAATACAGTAAGGCACTGTGAATCAAAAATCTAACCTCCTTACTTGGAGTGAATTGCTCTTAGCCTTCAATTTCTCCTTGACTGCTCGTACTCGTTTCAAGCACCAATTCTCACCGATCGCCGGTGGATCTCGCTCAGTTCCAACGTACATACCGTCAAATGCCGATGATCACACTCAACACACAGACGAAAACAAAAAAAATTATAACCACTCACTATGAAAAAAAAGCGTTAAAAATTCAACAGTCTTTTTTCAAAACCTCAGGTGAGACAAAAACTACAGTCGTTTTACCAAAGCACTCACAAAAAACATTGCACTCTGTCTGAAAATCTAGGCCTTCGGCTTCTCTAGCGACGGAGAAGTATTAGTCAGAAAAACTGACCGTCTAACTAAAGTTTTATCTTCGCCCAGAGGAATTACTTCATCCATCGGACTCTCACTGAGTTCGTGGAGCTTTCGCTCCAGTCTCTTCTCCAAAATGCTTCCTTCCGCTGGTGTATACCTGAAATTTCGATGATAGTATAGTCCAATAGGAGTAGGTGGCAACGCATGAAGCTCACCGGCGCGAAAGCTTTTTCTCCACATTGTAACCAATCACGCCGACCACCGCGGCGAACGGTAAGGTAATATAGGGCGCATAAACGCGAAGAAAATTCCACACAACAATCATTAGGAGTCTAAAGCAGCAAATCCAATGTCAAGCGCATCACCACATGAAAACAATCACTGCCTGTCCCATCCAGGCACCAACATCACTCTGGCTGCAAGTTGCCGCGAGTTCCTCGTCCAGGAGAGAGGGGTCGTCTCTAAGAAAGGGGAGTGGTTCACAGAAAAAGCATGGACCCTGACCATGCCGAATGATCTAACGGACCATTACAGCAAACAAATTCTCAGTTAGCGGAACAGAACTCCTCCCCGTCAAAACTTTTCGCCTCTGCGCCCCCCATCCCCTCATGCCCTCCACCAAACACTCTCTCTCACATGGTTGTGCATGAGTGACTTCAAGAATTGAGAATACATCCCTTATGAGTGGTGCATCTATACTATCTTATATGAGGAAGTATAGTGGTGCATCTATACTATCTTATATGAGGAAGTATAGTGGTGCATCTATACAAAATGACAGAAACACCAGGGTTTGTTACGTAAATTATTCGTTGCTTGATATTCATTGTTTGTGGCCCTCCGGTAATTTTTCCATTTCAGAAAAGAATGTATGGGATTTGCATGAAAAGTTGTCGAACCGATTTTTCCAACTAACTTAATTCTGTTGGTTAATAATCTGGTTCGTTGGGCGAAGTGACACAGAACATACAGTACAATGCATATCAGGCGCTACTCTTCTGCTCTGTGTATGCCAGAGCGAGGAGTCGCTAACTGCCACCATGTGACCGACCCTGTGAAGTCGCTTGTGCGCATTTGTGATGGCTGCTACAACTGTTTGTCACTTGTTATAAGAATTGTGTCGTCGTGAAAGTGACGCGAGACCACTTACCTCGAATTGGAAACAAATGTTAACGATGCAACGATTGAAATTATGAGTGCTTTGTTGAGGTAGTGTCGCGTGTCTGAAGTAGTTTCTTTCTCGGACCGAAACTTCGTGAGTGTCTGGGTTGGGAACTGACACAACCGGTGTTCTGCACTGAGTGCTTCGAAAGATAAGCTCGTCCTCATTGTTGATGAGAATACTGTGTTGTATTTTTGCTCAGCAGATTTATTGCTGCGAAAGTCATAAGTGAGAGACAGTAAAGGAATAATGTCTGACGTCCCGAGTCCGGGACAGCCTCCTACGGGTGGAGGACCTCCGTCATCAGCTCCGCAGAATCAAACGTATCCGCAGTTGCAACCGCCGTATCACCCGGCAGTTGGACCTCTTCCCCCTCAATCTGTCCAAAATCCTCAGCAAATGCCTGCTGGTGGTGGTGGAATTCCTCGACAATCTCCGAGTCCCGCAGCGCCTGTTCAGCAAATGCCGGTATGTTCTGTGATCGCTTTTTAAGTTTAAGTTTGATTTCGTCATATGGTCGATTTCACTTAGGCACATCAAATCCAACATCATCCCGGAGGTCCTCCCGTCAGTCAACCAAGCATGCACCCGATGAATCCGCCCATGCCACATCATGCTGGAATGCCGCCTCAGCAAGCATACTATGCGACGCATCATCCGAATGGACCTTCTGCTGCGCCTCAGCCACAAGGACAGGGATATCCTCAAGGAATGCAAAGACCACCTCCTCCACCTTCCTCACAGGTCAACGCTCCCATTCCGCCTTACCAACAGAATATGCAACATTTACCTTCACAACGGCCGGTATGTTGAAAATTGCACTTTCATTTTTATTTTTTCTAAATTTACTTCTTGTTGTAAAGCCGGGACCTTACAGCCAAGAAAATTTGAACGCCTTGCAAAAGGCGATCACATCGATGGAAGAGAAAGGCATGCAGGAAGATCCTCGATATTCCCAGCTCGTCGCGATTGCACAAGTGCGTCAGGTTGGATGCATGGATTGTTCTTGGGTGTCACGTGCTTATTTTTTATTACACTCGTGTAGACAACGAATCCGTATGGACCACCGTCGGCTGGTGATCCAAATGCGCAGCAGAAGGCCCCAATGAGCGCTCTAACTCCTGCCCAAGTCCAGCAACTTCGTTCACAAATTATGGCTTATCGGATTCTGGCTAGAAATCAAGTACTTCCGAGCCAACTGCTGCTGAGCATTCAGGGAAGACCGCAGCAAGCGCCTATTCCTCCCCCAAATGGCGTTATGCCACCCCAGTCTATGCCTCGACCAACTACTGCTGGTTCAGAACCAAGACCGGGATATCCTCCACAGCAAGCTGGCCAAAAGATGCCAATGGCACCGATAGGTACATAATCTTGTCAGCTGACATAGCAGAGGATTTTATGCAGGTGGACTCTCCCTCTACAACAAAATTCAAGGGACCAGAAAATAATTTGTGTGAAGAGAAATTCTTTGTGGAGAGCCTTGATAATGTGGGAAGAGGACCCTTTAGCACCAACAAATGTGGGATGCAGGGAAAATTGTTGTAGATGCAGTCCACCTGTAATGAAAATTGAATGGAAAACTGTAGAACTTTTTTAAGAACCATATTATTGTCACAGGTGCTCCGATGCGTCAGCCAATGGCCGGTGGTGCCCCTCCTCAGCCAGGCTACCCTCATCCAGGTATTGGATGTGTTACTTGTAGAATAGATACTGTACCATTACATGTTTCTCATCAAAATGCTATTAAAACAGCTAGGAATCTCGAAATAATTTTTCCTCCCAAAATATGAATGGTAAAACAGGTATATAATATTTAAAAATTGAATTAAACCTTTTTGAATTAGCAATAAAATGATAATTATCGGTTCCAAGTTCTTTCTAAGAAGAAATATGCTCCATTCGATGCCTTTTGTATGTAGAATGCTTATTTAATTTCAGATGCGACCGAAAAGGTATGTTAACGTACTGATCTGGAAGATGAACGATGTAATGAACGATGTAGAACATAATGGTTAATCCGTTCCCAATTTCTTCGGAAATAACTATTGTAAATTATTAATTACAAATTTATTTCGCAAATAAAGAAATGTCGTGCAGTCAAAGTAATCAGTTTTTTTTAATGACAATGAAAGTCATACACATACTGTATATTACTGTAAATTCAAATTTGTAAGACTGTCATTTTTTGGGGTCAATTATCTGGAGAAAAATCGGCGGTAGCATGTGTTCAGTGTGCGTAATATCTATCTTTCGAAGCGGGTTACTAACATTATCTGGGTTACTTCTGAGATCGAAATTCGCTTAGTCAATATTTTTTGATGTGGGTGTTATGCATAGTTCTGTGACCTGTGTCACTCCATTCACTTTTTTTCATTTTTTAGGTTCTCCGACACTCCCAAACTCAGGTCAAGTTGGTGAACCCGTGCAAGTGCCGCAGGTGATCCAGCCGCCGCAACAGCAAACTGCCCCTGGTCCACAACATCATCCGATGCTTCAGAAGACCTCGAGGATCACTCCCTTGGCCAAGCCAATTGGCATCGACCCCGTCATGATGTTAAAGGAGAGAGAAAACCGACTTGCCGCTCGATTGGCTTATAGAATAGAAGAGCTCACCAACATAATCCCCGCTTCCATACCCGAAGATCTGAAAACGAAGGCTACCATTGAATTGAAAGCTATCCGTCTCTTGAACTTCCAGCGTCAACTCCGAGCCGAAATTATAGCTGGAATGCGGAAAGATAGTTTTCTAGAAAGTGGTCTGAATATCAAAGCGTACAAACGTGTGAAACGTCAGGGATTGCGAGAAGCCCGTTCGACAGAAAAGCTTGAAAAGCAACAGAAATTAGAACAAGAGCGTAAACGCCGTCAGAAGCATCAAGAATTCCTCAATGCCGTCCTCCAACATGGCAAAGATCTCAGAGAATTTCACAAGAACAACCAAGTTAAAATTGGGAAGCTCAACAAGGCCATCATTGCTTGGCATGTCAACGCGGAGAAGGAAAAAACTCGAGAGCAGGAAAGGATCGAGAAAGAACGTATGCGTAGGTTGCTCGCGGAAGATGAAGTGGGTTATAGAAAACTCATTGATCAAAAGAAAGACAAGCGTCTTGCGTACCTCCTCTCTCAAACTGACGAATATATCTCGAATCTTATGCAAATGGTCCAAGTGCATAAGGCCGAGCAGCGGAAAGTACAGAAGGATCAGAAGCAACGCCGACGTAGGCGCAAGAAACGTCAGGCGGAAAAGGATGACGACGATCCCAGGGTGGAAGTTAAAGAAGTTTCTTCCGGTCGACGTTTGGTTGGGGATGAAGCTCCAGTTGCATCACAGCTGGAAGCCTGGCTTGAGACCCATCCGGGTTGGGAAGCGGTTCCGAAGCAGGAAGGTGAAGGCGCGGATGACGATGATGATGAGTATGAGACCGGCGACGAAGAGTCCCATGGCTCTGGATCAGATTCAGATGATGAAGGTGAAAGAAAGACTGGCGGCCTTCATTCGAAGACCGACGACGATCGTGTCAAGGATGTCATTCACAAAGCAAAGGTTGAAGATGACGAGTACAAAACTTGCACGGGCGAAATTAATTACTATGCGTAAGTTCCCGGCTTCGCTGAAAATTCTGCTACTTGTTGCATACTGTCATAGAAGTTTTCGCGCGGCGAAAAATGAGTGGTGCAGTGCGCCTAATTTTCTTCATGCCCAACCCAATGTAAATTGCTTCACTGTAAATGGATGTCCTTTGAAGCCACAATTTTATCTCATTTTTCCATGAATCATCCCAAATCCCCTTTTTTTATCTTATTTATTCGTTTTTTAACAAAGAATTAAGATTTAAAAAAAGATAGAAATCAACTTTTGGACCACCAACAGATCGTTCGGGATTATTAATTTTACAACCATTTTCACATTGATAAGTTTTTATCTTGGCAGTTCGCAGATTTGATGACCGGATGTTTTTTGGAAAGTCATCAATAATTTTTTTTACTTTCCACAGCGTCGCTCATACGAAGAGAGAGGAAGTCACAGAACAAGCGTCGATCATGGTGAATGGCAAACTGAAGGAATATCAAATCAAGGGCTTGGAATGGATGGTTTCTTTGTACAATAACAACTTGAACGGCATTCTGGCCGATGAAATGGGTTTAGGAAAAACCATTCAAACGATTGCACTTGTGACTTATCTGATGGAGAAGAAGAAAGTCAATGGACCTTTCCTTGTCATCGTTCCGCTTTCGTAAGTTCGCTTTTCTAATATTTACGTGATGTCGTTGACGAGTTTCTTGTGGCGATTAATCTGTATTTTGGTTCTCTGCATTATCATGTGCCATCATTTACTGTGTACATTGCATGTTTTCCTCTAACTACTGTGTGTAATTGCGCAATCTTCTTGCTATTGTGTGCTCCTAATTTTTAACTAAAGCTCTTGCTCTTATAAATAAAACCCTAAATGTCAAGTGTGCTATGATGCTTTATTTTTAAGTTTATTTAAATGAGAGAACATGAAATTACTTGTACATTGCATGAAGGAACTTAAATCAACCCGCGGAAAGGAATCCTCAAAGTTCCATTCTGCGCGTGTGGAATCTTGTCTAAAAACTTCGATCTGTCTAGAATCCGAAAGATTTGTTAAAGGAAAGAATTTCTAAATTTAAGCTGGTTTTCCGCCGTTGCTACGAAAAATTTGGGAAATTCTTGAGCTTTTTCGTGTCGCACCGTTTAGTCATTTACGTTTCAGGAAATTTTCTTGAATAATTGAGACTACTGCATTCAATTTGTGAAAAAACGTTCGTTTTCAGAACTCTGTCGAATTGGACGATGGAGTTCGAAAAATGGGGTCCATCCGTTGTCGTCGTAAGCTACAAGGGATCTCCCGGACTTCGTCGATCCATTCAGGCCCAGATGAAAGGCGCAAAATTCAACGTTCTCCTGACTACCTACGAATATGTCATAAAGGATAAAGCCATCTTGTCAAAAATCCGCTGGAAATACATGATAATCGACGAGGGTCATCGTATGAAGAATCATCACTGCAAATTGACGCAGATCTTGAACACTTTTTATATTGCCCCGCATCGCTTGCTTCTTACTGGCACGCCATTGCAGAACAAATTGCCGGAGTTGTGGGCTCTTCTCAATTTTCTCTTGCCGAGTATTTTCAAATCTTGCTCAACCTTTGAGCAATGGTTCAATACTCCGTTTGCAACCACTGGCGAGAAGGTGGAGCTGAATGAAGAAGAACAGATTTTGATTATTCGTCGGTTGCACAAAGTTTTGCGGCCGTTTTTGCTGCGTAGATTGAAGAAGGAAGTAGAATCGCAATTGCCGGATAAGGTGGAATACATAATCAAATGCGAAATGTCCGGACTGCAATTGGCATTGTACCGGTAAGTCAACTCTTTTGGACAGTTGATAGAACTTTTTGTTTTGTAAATCTCCAATTTTATTTGTTTTTCCTGTCGATAGGCACATGCAAGCCAAGGGAGTGTTGCTGACTGATGGCTCAGAAAGGGGCAAAAATGGCCAACGTGGGGCGAAAGCGTTGATGAACACCATCATGCAGCTTCGAAAGCTATGCAATCATCCATTCATGTTCCAGTACATCGAAGAAGCCTATTGCAAGCATGCCGGGTTTAACAATACTGTTGTTTCCGGGTAAGTTCGGTTTAGTTTCCTCATTTATGATAATTTCAACAAAAAAAGTATGTTTTCAGGCCCGATCTTTATCGAGCGAGTGGAAAATTTGAGCTGCTGGATAGGATTCTCCCCAAGTTAAAAGCTACTGGTCATCGTGTTCTGTTGTTCTGTCAAATGACGCAGTTGATGACTATCATGGAAGATTACTTGACTTTCCGTAACTTCAAATACCTGCGTTTGGACGGAACGACGAAGTCAGATGATCGTGGTCAGTTGTTGGCTAAGTTCAATACCAAGGAATCTCCTTATTTCCTGTTCTTACTGTCAACCCGTGCCGGTGGCTTGGGTCTTAATCTTCAGGTAAGTTTTGAATTTCGTTTCGCCGAGTTTCCAAAATGCCGAATTTATTGAACTATTTGTTGGAGTGGATAATTCCTGCATTTGTTGGAAATCTTGCTGAGAAATCGGTCCGATTCTATGCATTTTCCTGTTTCTTTTATTACGATGTTCGTGTTGCTGGATGGTTGTCGTATTGAATACCTCATTTTTTCAACTTTTTTAATCTTAAGGTCTATTTGTTTTGGGCTTCCGAGGGGAATTTGCCAATTTTTGCATTTTGATTCTCATGGATGTGACGAAAAATTCGATAGTTGACAACGCACCAATACCCAAACTTTCTACTCGGAAAATTACCTGGAAAATGCCCATTTAAAAGTTTTTAAAAATCATGGAAAGGAATTCGAAAAAAACATCTTAGAGGTCTTGTTTTAAATTCGAGTTAATAGCGTCGGATTGTGCGAATGAGAAAATTTTTTTTACTCCTGCTCAATTAGGCTGCGGATACGGTAGTCATTTTTGATTCTGACTGGAATCCACACCAAGATCTCCAAGCTCAAGACAGAGCTCACCGCATTGGTCAGAAAAATGAGGTCCGTGTCCTTCGTCTGATGACGGTCAACAGTGTGGAAGAACGCATCCTCGCCGCAGCGAAATACAAACTCAATATGGACGAGAAGGTCATTCAAGCTGGAATGTTCGATCAGAAGTCCACTGGTTACGAGAGGAAGCAATTTCTTCAGTCAATTCTCACGCAGGACGAAATGGAAGAAGAGGAAGAAAATGAGGTCCCTGATGACGAAACGGTCAACCTGATGATTGCTCGCTCCGAAGAGGAACTTCAGAAATTTCAGGCCATGGATTTGGAACGTCGCCGCGAAGAAGCCAAGCTGGGGGCTAACCGGAAACCCCGACTGATGGAAGACTCAGAACTTCCTGCTTGGCTAATGCGCGAAGAAGATGATATGGACGAAACTCTCGAAGAGGATGACGAAGAAAAGTATTATGGTCGTGGTTCCCGCGCCCGAAAAGAAGTGGATTACTCTGATTCGCTAACTGAGAAAGAGTGGCTTAAAGTCATCGGTGCGCAGTTGGACGAAGATGGGAATGAAATCATAGAGGACGAAGAGGACGACTACGGATCGCGTAAGAAGCGACGCGGAAGTGAGCAGCCGAGGAAGGAGAGGGGGCGCACTGGGCCTCGTGGCCAAAAGCGGAAGTTGGACTTCGAAGGTGTCGAAGAAGAAGAAGAGGAAGGGGTACAAACGAAGAAGAGGTCAGGACGACCTCCTGGCAGTGGAATGGCTGGCAGGCCGAGCAAGCGAAAGGATGTTACGCCATTCATGATAAACCAAATGAGGAAGCTTGTCAAGATAGTTGTTAATTACACGGATGCGAATGACCGTGTGTTGAGCACTCCGTTTTTGAAGCTGCCCTCGAGGAAGGAACTTCCGGATTATTACAGGATCATCAAGAAGCCCCTTGATATCTACAAACTCAGGCTGAAGATCAACAATCATCAGGTAGTGCAGCTTGTGTACTTGTTTTTTTTTTCGAACGTTATAAAGGTTTATTCTTTAAATATTTAACTTAACCAAACGTAATGACATTTAATCGACTACTGTTGCCTCATTAAATTCATAGTCTTCCAACGTCTAGTGTGTGACAGGAAAGTTCTGATTGTGACAAGTAATTGATAATTCTAATTTTTCATCTTGTTTATAGTATGCAACCTTGGATGAGTTGGAGGCCGACTTCATGACCATGTGCAAGAATACGCAAGTATACAATGAGGACTCTTCCTTGATATACGCGGATTCCATCGTTCTTCAGACCGTCTTCACAAATGCGCGGGAGCGGTTGGAACAGGAAGCAGAAAACTCGGAATCGAGAGAAGAGGACGACACGAATGACGCCGCAGAAGGCGACGAGGAAGAATCTAACATGGGCGGCGGTCAAAATGATGACGGTTAGTACAGTAATTTTAAAAATCGTTTCTTCGAATTTTTCTTCTCGATGAATTGATTGATCTTGATCAATGCTCACCGTTGCCTTTCAAATTTTGCAGGTGAAGAAGATGAAGATGAAAACGACGATGATGAGGAATTCGAGGAAGATGATGATGGACCGAAAAAGGGGAAGCCAAAGAAACCGCGCACACCGAAAGGAGAGTCTTCGCGCGGTCGTGGCCGTAAAGGTCGTCCTAGCGCCTCGACTCGCAAATATGTCGAAGACGAGGATGAAGATGAGGACTGAATGAAGTTCGGAAAAATTCCCTGGAGCAAATTTTAGTTTGCTAATTTTTTTGCGTATAGCTGTTTTGTTGTTGCGTTTCATCGGCCTGTTTGCACATAAATTATGTTCGGTTTCTATTTAGCATGGATGTTCATTCTTTGCTCCGAACGAAATCGACATCAGGTGTCTCTCAGCGTTTTGGTGTGTATCGCGAATGATTGTATGGGACGAAATATTCAGTTTTTTCTGCTTTTTAAATTCCGAGTCTCATTTAAATTATTTTGCATATATAAAATGTGCTTAAAATTTTTCTTTTTTCTGTTCGTGTAGATTTCTTCCCCTTCTCTGATCCCTCGACCATTAGAAAAATGGCACTTAGCATCGAAGAAAATTTAGGGTCTGTGTTGCGCGATGAAACTTTGCCAATGAAGCAGCGATTTAGGGCTCTTTTCTCTCTTCGAAATCTGAAAACGGACGCTAGTGTCGATGAAATCGTGAAATGTTTTGAAGTCGGGGACTCAGCCCTGCTGAAACACGAACTAGGTTACTGTTTGGGCCAAATGGGCAATAAAAGAGCCGTCGATTCACTAGTTAAGGTGCTGAGCAACGTTCAAGAAAATGCTATGGTACGGCACGAGGCAGGTGAGTAATTCCGAAGTGTTTTCGAAAATCTAAAATTGGTAGGTTCGTGATTTTATTCAACTCTGTTCTTACTGAAGATCAGAAGGCTTCTTCTAAGGCTTTCTTGTTTAATAAAAAGAAACTAATCTAAGTCTAATCCAGCACGGTCACATTTATTACTGATTAATTTCAATTCCGTGTGGTCGAACCTTAAGCCTGACATTTTTGCAGATTTTAACGTTTGATTACCCACGTTCTGTACAGTATACCGTTCTTCGTTGATGTCTTAATTATGAAGTTTTGACACCTCATTCCAATGAAAATTCAACATTCTCACCTTCTGCCTTCTTCGTGCAAGATTTAATGGGGGTTCTCTTAATGGGAATTTTTTCATTTTAATGGGTCGTATTTTTGGAAAAATCTATATTTCCCGAGTTTTAATTGCAGAGATAATTTTTGAAGTTTCCTTCAGGAATTTTCTTCTAATGGCCGTCGAAGTTCTTCGTCTTCGAAGTGCAATCTGATACTGTACGATATTTGACGATGAATGGTGACTCAATGCATTGTTTTTTTTTATTTTAGGAGAAGCTCTAGGAGCTTTGGGAGCATTTGAATCTCGAGACGTGCTGCAGAAATTCGTTTCTGATCCCATTCCCGAAGTCTCTGAAACGTGCCAACTTGCGCTTTTGCGCCTCGAGTACATGGAAAAATTCGGATCCGTGGACATATCGCCGTATGACAGCGTTGATCCTGCGCCAGCTATTAAAGAAGAAAAATCCGTCTCGCAATTATCCGATTGCCTCCTGAATTCGTCCGCGACACTCTTCGATCGGTATTGCGCCATGTTCTCTTTAAGAAACAATGGATCAGCTGAAGCGCTTGCTGCTTTGGGGAAAGGTGAGTCCCTTCAGATAAACGGATGCTGCACTTCGGAGTTTCTCGTAATTTCAAGATTTGTGAAACAATTTTTAATATCCGCTCTTCAACGGAACCCTTGCGTAAAGTTTTTTGTTGTTGTCATATTCTTGAGAAGCAGCAAATTAAAACTTGCTTATTCGTTCGGAATTTCTTAATGACTCTCTTCCTGAACTGAATTAGTTTGTGATTTTTTTCATTCATTTCCAGCCCTGAGTTGTCCGTCGAGTGCTCTTTTTCGACATGAAATTGCTTACGTTCTGGGTCAGTTGGAAGAGAAAGCTGCCCCATGTGTCGAGGAACTTGCGACGAGACTCGGGGATGAAGAAGAGAATCCTATGGTGCGTCACGAATGTGCAGAAGCACTCGGAGCCATTGCCACCGACTCCGCCATGAAAGTTCTGGGCGACTACAGAGCTGATAAAGAACGAGTTGTACGAGAGAGTTGTGAAGTTGCCCTGGATATATGTGATTATCAGAATAGCAATCAATTCCAGTATGCATTGATTGAGCAGGCTCAAGGATGATGTGTGCTTCTTTTAATTTTTGGAAGTATACGCGTCTTGGCTGCGTGCCTGCTTTTGGTCATTTTATGATCTTGCTGTTCTTTTCAGGGACTCTTGTGATGAATCGAAGAAGGGCACGTTTCATGTGTTCAAGTATTCTGTATTATGAAATCGATTTTGCCTAAAATTTGAGGCTTTTTCTTCAATACAACTACTGATTTATCTAAACTAATGAAACTGTTATTGCCTTTCCCCATATGATCAAAAGTGATGAGACCTTGAGATGCAGACCTAATTAGTATTGGGGCCTTGTCTGTATGCTGAAACATTTGCATGTTGGATCTTGTTTCCCCATAGGCTTCAATAGTAACTCATTTAATTGGTTCTCCAGTTCATCTAAAATGAGAAATAAATTCCCAAGAAATCTAATAAAATGTGTTTCTGAACCAAAATATATAGAATGTAACTGTGGAAGCAACTGCACAGAATCTGATATTCTGGCATCTAAAGGGCCCAAAAAAGCAAAGAAGAAGTATAAATCTTGCTGTACTGTGCCCAGATGATGAAGATTCAAAAAAGATTATCACAAAATGAACCTTTTTTGATCATAAATTTGAGTAAAATTTTCATTTTTGACTTCTATGAATATGAATAGTTTAATTTGTTCAAGATATATCAAAATTTTGAAAGAAAAAAATTTAGATTTTGATGGAAAAGTGTCCAAAAGAAATGTTGAGATTTGTTTTGGTGTCAGGTTTAATTTTTTTAAATTTGGAGTGTACCCAAGTAAAATCTTTGTATGGCAGGGTGTCTGTACTTAGGTGTCTCACTGTATCATACATAATTGGCTGCAGCATGACCTTTATTACAAGGATGTCTTTATTTTTGAGATCATTCACCATGTCTCAAAACCTTGGATGGAAATGAGTGGCTCAAGGAAGCTGACTTGATATCTCTTTGTGAATTATATTTGACCTTGTTTATTGAAGTTCTATGGTATAGGTAAATCTTGTTACGACAAACCTATTTGGGCCAGACCGGCCAGTAAGATAATCATGCCAAGAAAAAACAATTGTTAAGAACTAAACATTTTGGCTATTTTGTGGGGACCCAAAAAATACCAATTGAAGACAAGAATTTTTTATTTTATAGTACAGTATTTAACGTATATGCAAAAGAAGTCCAGCATAAAACCAGTCGAAAGCTTCTAAATCATATGGAACAACATTGATTCTATTCTGGACTTCAATTACTTTTTACAATTTCACTGAAACACTAAGGTTAGATGTCGCTTGTGTTGTATGAACTTGAAAAGTAAAATTTTTTTAGTACTAGTCAATTCTTGAAACTGCTGGGAGCATTTTATTAGAGAACTGTTGGAATCTTGACCAAAGAAACATGTGTTGTCTTTTAAATCTTCGTGGGTCTTTCTTCTGGATGGTTAAGGATTTTCATAGATGTGGGTTGAGAAATGTTGATGTGTAGAAAAGGGTCAGATCAAAGAAGCAAAGTAAAATGAGTGTCCTTATCAATGGGGCTGCTGTACGTTCAATGATTGTGTAGAGAGGACGTACTTGCCGACACCATTGTGAAAAGTAACCCGCGTCAGCATCTCTCACGAGGGGTTGGTGCAATTTTTGGAAGTACCCTTTACTTCATAAGGGTACTAATGGTTGATCAACACAAGGAACGGAAGACTCTCTTCATTCTACGCACACGTAGATCCAGCCGGCTTCTTCGTCTGTTGACATCGTTGGACTAGATAATCTAATGCAGTATGTTGCATTTGAGGAAGGTATGACGGAAAATTTGTCATATCCATAATGAGTAATCCTGCCAGGTTCCATATGGTTCTGTATGAAAGTGAGAGTTATTGAGCTGCAAGTAGGATATTTTGATGATACTACAACCCACTAATAGAATTACTTCGAATGGTTTGAGTACATAGTGGATTAATTAACTCCTGCTCAAGGATAAGAAAGGTGTCCCACGCTTCGAGGGGTCCTGCTGCACTGTGGATCCCAAACACAGTACAGTACTTCTGTTTTTGAAGTTAGGGGCACTGTTATTGTAAGAGCGTACTGTGTTCATGAAATTCTATACAGTATTCTATAATTTTATATTGTTCTTACAGGACGCGTACGGTATTATGGATACTTCTTCTATATTACATTAAATACAGTATAAGCAAACTTACGCAGCATATATAAGTCTTCAAAATAGGAAAGATCTTCTTCACCCTATCCCATAATAGTTTTACGGATGTCAAGAAGTTGAAACCATGCTAAATACAGACCTCTCTGTTCAATCAAGTATAAGGAAATATATGGACCGTTTTGATCCATAAAAAAATAATGAATACTATCGTAATTTGACAATATTCACCCATATATCTTGGAAAAGTCGTATTGTACTCGACAGCATACTGTGTATGCATCTTTGATTTATATCTTTGATTATCTCCTCTGATTGTCTTGTTGAAAAATAATTCAAACAAATTAAATTTTTAGGGATCCTCTATACTATATCCCTATATGTAATATCTCCAAGACAATTATTTAACCTTACATGAAAAGGCGTATATTTTAATTGAGGGATTTCTTGTCACAAGTTTTGAATGACATAAAAAATTTTATCGGATAGATACAGACCACGTATAATAAAAGGTGTGTTGAAACGTAGATAGTGACAAATGATGCTGAACCATGGATGATTTTAACCCTTTGAAAACATCAGATTAAAATTGTTCGTATCACTTGAGGAAAATATTCCATCTTCCTTTTCTTTTCTAAAAAGAATCCAGGTTTTCCCAATTATCGTCATATACTTTTTCATGTCTATATCACCTCTGCTTACCATAGCCATTATTACGCATTAGTTTACGACAGATGTCGCTTTCCACCATCCTCTGATGTGCAGTATGTTGCCGGTACGTGAGAGTAATACAGTATACCAATAAGGTTTTCTGGACAAAGACTCTTTGTGATGATTCACGAGCTAGGGATCATGAGCGTTATTAATTTTGTGATGGATTTATGATTGTTTCATTTGTGTATGAATTTCTCACGTGCTGTATTAATTGAAACTTCTTGCTTCGGGTTAGAAGAAGGATGGCGTATTCCTCGGTGATGGTGGATTCAAAACCCGATAAACAGGTGTTCTACGCTTCAACATTTTTTGAGTTTAACATCCATCGACTGATAGCTTAATTATAAAATTCATATTCCAGCCATTCCAACTCCTGTTATCCGTGGTACGATCATTGTCTGCATCGGAAGATGACGCTGCGCGAGAGGAGCAGCGCAAAAATTTGGACAAGGAGTTCCAGAAAAGTGATGCCAAATTGAATTCCTTCGTAGCATCCGGTGAATCCCAGATCCGAACTGTGATGCAAGTACGTCCGTATTTTAATCTTTCAATTGCTATTCTCGGATTCTATGCAAGTGTTGCCTGTTGTGAAAAATTTACTTTACATTTTATAGACATTTTCCGAAGAAGTGGGAGAGCAGGTCAACGTACGCAAGGTCGCCGATGAATTGAACCGGTCACTTATCGGTTGCAAAGCACGCTTCAGGGAACACAAGGACCACGTTCGTCAATTGTATCAAGAAGGAGAAAAGCATGACTATTACGTGGACCTACTGAACAGCATGTGCGAGCTTGAACAAGTGTTCATGAAGTGTGGACTAATGCCTATTTTTGCGCAGAATCTGGTTGAAGGAGTCGCCGAGGAAAGTTGACCTGCTATTGAAAGCGGGAAAATATGAAGAAGTCGCTGAGCGTCTGGTTGCTGCATGCAAGTTGGGAGAAGGACCCTTGAACCAAGTCGATTCATTGCGTGACGTACAGGCAGAAGTTAATCGTCGTCGATCTGTGAGATATATTTACTTATATGTCTGTGAAAATTTCTTAACATTTCCCTCTCTTTCACAGGATATACAACAGAAAATTTTGGCAGATCTCCATTCTCAGCTGTACGAGAAATCGATCAAAGAGGCTCTTGACAGAAGAAAGCGAAAAGTTCGGAATCTCCGCAATTTGCAGCCAATATTCCAAGGCTCGTTCATTGGGGATGGAGAAGACTTCAAACGTTCAGCTACAGCGTATTTGGCTGGATTGCAAGAGTTGGTTGAATCAGACACGAAGCTTGTGACATCATTCGGATCAGGGGAGCATTCTTCACCCGCCAACGTAGCTTCTGTTGCTGGCGCTGAGAAAAAGTGGGAAGAAGTGCTCGGAGAAATCGCTGCATGTCTCGTGAAACTTGGAAATATTGAAGATAATGGAATGGTTAGTGGTGTTTTCCGGTTTCCGAGTGTTGAAATCCTACGTCTCAATATATGCCTATTCTGAAAGACTTTCGTTTATCCCAACGATATTCCTCGATTCATAGCAATTTTTGAAAATTTACTATGTTTCCGCCGTGTGCAGCGTTCTTTTGCTAGAAAAATTACTTTCCATTCTCGTGAATTGGACATTTTGAATGCATTGGTGCGAATATTGTTCTAAAAGTTGCGTAGTTCCAAATATCATTTTTGGGTAATTCGGCGGAACATTTTTTTCCTGGGCTAGAGAAATTTCTTCAGTTTATAATCTGTAAATGATTGTGTGTATCCACCGAGTATGGATTTTTCGTGACATATGAAAAGTATTCGAATTTCTTCGACTCAAAAGGATTATTGGGGTTTTTTTTATATAGGAGAGTAGAACTTCTAGCTCGGACCAACTCGCCGGAATCGTAATGGAACTGGGCAACGACTTGCCGCGCAAACTGGTGTCGGTAGTGAAAAAAATCGGCGATGAAATTCGATTGAATCCTAGTCCGAAAGTTGACGTGGTTATTCAATGCTGCAACGGTATTCCTGGTGGAAGTGCTGGGGATATGGTGATTGATGAAGATTCTCCTTACGACCTCAGTTTGCAAACGCAAGTCCAGGTCGTTTCGCTTGTGTGTCCGCCGTTGATCGACTTCTTTTCGACGGTGTTCCACGCTTTCCATGCTATTGCCATGCGTCACAAATTGTTGTTGGAGAAATTCTCCAAGGCCTCGAAAACGAAAATTCTTTGCTATGATGATTACTCCATCTGGTTTGAAATTCAGAACGTGGTGAGTAGATGAAAAATTACGAATTTATTTGAATTCGATGAAGGACGCGTTTAGTTCTGATGGGTTCTTAAGCCAGATGATTACATTTATTGGCAAGTTGTCAGACGTATTTTCTTCGCTTTAGCAGTGTACCGAAAAATGTATTACGCTAGTTGAATGCATCAACTTTTAAATTGAAATATCTGATCTGAGGCAATGCCATACTACGACAATAAAAAAGAAACGCTTCGAATTGTAGTAATGTACTTTCTTAAGCTAAGAAATTAATTCTGCAAGTAAGTAATGTACAGTACGCTGAGAATATGGCGCACTGTTGATGTTCGCTGATGAAATACAGTATTAGTGATTGCATTATTAGTGTTTCTTTCATCACGTATTCAGTAAATGTAATTTTAAGTTTTCCTTCTAAATTGAAAATTGGCTACAGGATCGTTGTCAATGATGTTATCCGATATTCATAAGGGTGGATTTCGTTTTTTTTACGACCCAGGACGATGCGTCCTGAAAAGAACAGCTGTTGTACTGTATTGGCATTGATATGCGTTTAACTGGTGTTGGAATGTAAGCAGTGCAGAATTGTACGTCCCGTTTTTATTTTCCAGGTAAAAGCTTTGCTGACAGACTATTTGGATCTGCAAAATTTTCAAAATCCATCAGGAACTTCCGTAACATCGTCATCTGCGGATCGAATGGCGTCAAATCCAATGCAAATTTCTGGGGTTACTATTGATGACGTGAACTCGTTGTTTGTGAGGAAAAGAACAAATGTGAAGTAAGTACTGAAAAACGTTTCTCACGTTCCTTTTCGTCGTTTCAAAAAGTATGCTTTCGTTCGACGTAATTCCAGGGAAGTGCAGGAAGCTACATTGTTCTCGTTTGACAATTCGGTGGAAATGATGCAGTCAGAGCTGACGAAAACTTCCCAACGCGTCCATTTTGTGGCTGGAATGCCGCACAATAGAATGATGCCAAGACAAGATTCTCTTGCTGGAGAACACATTTTGGTATGCCCTGCAAGTCCGAAGAACATTGCGCTTTTGTACCACACCGTTTCAGACTTCGTCGGACGTATGGAAGCAGAAACGTGCGAAACTCCAGGGTGAGTTACGCGGCTCACGATTCGTCAATATATTTCCGGCGGTCGTGGCAGTTATTCTAGTTCATTACAAAGCACGAACAGGTGGACTCCCCCAGCAACAATCTTGTCTACAAAAATTTTCAGGGCGTGCATTTTTTTGTTGCTTCCTGTAGGCAGTGTAGGGTTTCTCTACGGCAAATTTTCTTAGAAACGAATTTTTCTGGTCTCCTGAGTTTCGTTGTAGATAAGTCAACCAGAATTCATTGATATAAATATACTGTATACAGTTTTGAATATTTAAATAAAAAAAAAAGCTTACGAGGATATCCTTGTTCACGAGCGCAAACCGATTATGATTTCGCATTTGGCGTAAAAAAAAATAATTTGGCCAATTGAGATTGAGATGGCCACTCGAAAAAGCTGGTTCATTTTTCGTACCAACTACTTTCAACCATATGTGACATATGTGAAAACTTCAAAGGCATCTACGAAAATGTGATGTCATTTTCAAGTTCTAGTGGCAACCAAGACTCACGAAAGCTAATGCTGACCTCGAGTTTCTTGAATTGAATGTTTAGTATACGAACTGTGCAATGGAATCAGGCACCCGCGATCCGCGTATTTCTTTGAGAGGCACGAAACACAATCCTTCGAAACATTGACGACTAGATCTCAGCTTATTTCAAGGTCAGATACATTTCGGGAAGTGAAAATTCGCTAGCACTGTTTGTAGAAGGTTTGTGGTGTTTCAGGATTCAATTGGAAATTTCAATGCTAAAATAAGAGAAAATTGATTCATGAATGCCGATGCTTTTTAATGCGCGAGATTTTTAAATGTCCGTAATATTTTTTTTTAAGTTTAATGGACATTACTAAATGTTTTGCAGTTCGGAATCAAGTAATCTGACGAAATTCGTTAAAAGCTGCATTGAAAACGTGCTGATACCGCATATTGGAATTTCTCTGGATCGTTCTTTGGATCGGACATCTGCCAAATCTCCGGATATTTGGCGTGAAGTGACAACACCTGCTGAGCAGAAGAAGTACAGACTCGTCTCTCCAGTTCTACGAGTAAGTTCTATAAATTTTACCAACACCTTTGCATACTTCTTTTTTCAGCTTCAAAATGAAAAATTATGCCGATCAATTTCAGAATACGGTGGTAGTCGTGGAAAGCATAAAAACGGTTATGGAAATGGTGGAAAGAATATGGCTGTGGAGGGAGAATTTCGCAGAGAAAACGTTCTCGCATTTAAAACAGTACTTCGAAACTTGCCAAGCTGCATTTCGAGGATTGACTCAGCCAGAAAGTGAAGACAAACGCATCAAATCTGCGGTGTTGGCGCAAGATGACGACTTGATACGTCGCCTTAAATCCTTCCCTAATTGGACCGCTGCGCAGCGTGTGGAAGCTGCGGAAGCACTTCATGCAACAGAGGTGAAATGAAAGATGTTTACTAGTGAATGGCTGCATTGTGTTGAATAGACGTTTTCGCGGGACAATAGGAATATCTCTTGAATATCAATTCTATCATTTCTATGTGTTGAAAAAAACTGTTCGCTAGACGGTATAAACCGAGCTTCAAGGGGATGGAAAGCCTCTGAAAAACCTGCCAGCTTTTGAAATTTCCTGTAACCTCTTTTGGATTTCGCTTTTAAAAACTCCTCGGAAAACATGGAAACGCTGTAAGCAATGCATTCAAAAAGAAAAAGAAAAAAAAAGGAGGACCGTGAGCTGCTTTTTCTTGCGCTTTCGTATGGTTGTCCCTTACTAGGCATTGTTTATATTATTTAGTGGACAGTGTGTTTGAATTTTCTCGATTCCTTGCGTTTTTCAGGCTGGCAAGAAGAGTGGAGCGAACCAGTGGAGCCTTAGCTGGCAACAGGCGAGTCTAAGACTCGATATGGAGGAACTGTGGCAGCGCGAGGCGGACATTTTGTTGAGCATGTCTGGGGGGCTACCAACCCGCACATCGAATATCGCCGCTGACGAGATCATATCTGATGCGTCCCAGTTGCGATCACTTGCGCTGCTTGAAGAATCCATGGCATGGTTCAGCAACGAAATCCTCGTGTTCGTGAGTTTCTTGGGAATGATGGCGACGGAAGAAGATGCCCCTGATGGGAACATCATCAGTGCAGAAAAGAGCAACGTTATTAGACCTGAACCTGCGAGTGGAAAAACGAAACTGGCTTCTTACGGTGACGAGCTGAAGAAGCTTGCGGTCGATTTCCAAGCCCTGGCGGACACTTGTTTGATGGTGCTTCACTTGGAGGTTAGTTCGACGCTAGAAAAAGTTTTCTGAAGTTGATGAACAAGTGGGCTCGTTCGATAATATGCATAAAATGCTGCATGATTAGGCATTTCTGTTCATATTTTAGCATATGAACCGATTTAATGAATTTCTTGCATACAGGGTGGAATACCATGTTTACTCAAATTGTGCGCCCTTTTTTTTGTCGAAGTAACTAGGATAAAACGAGGGTGGGCTTCATAGGCGGAGATGACGTTTAAATTTTTTTTTTTAGCTCAGGTGCGCAGCATGCTTGATTCCAAGGGGGAATTCCTAATTAATTTTTACGGAACATTTAGAAATGCCAAAAACGGAAAATCAACATTCAAATTTACTAAAATTGAATTCAAAATTTAGACTGTGGTCTATTTTATTTTTCAAGTACTGTATTTCAATCTTCAGACTGGGTGCTCGTCTTACACGAGAATACATTTTTATCGAAATTTTGGGCTGACATTTTCAGGTGCGCGCCTGACTTGAGTAAGGCACGCACCTGAAAATGCTTGTTACTTGAGTATATACACGTACAGTGTTTTTTAACGAGTGAAACAACTATTATTGCGATCACTTCATTCTATGGTTGCATCAATTCAAAAGAAACATCAGTTCGATCCTTGTGGGAGAATTTCGCAACGTTAGCATTCTGGGGAACTTGGTGAAACTGGACATAAGTCATGAATCACATCTGGTATGAGGGAAGCCACTCAACATTATTGAAGCTGAAGAGTAATGAAGCCATTCTGCAGTTGGAAACCCTTCGTCATTGCAACAGGGGTGTGAATTCTTTCGGCTTCTTTCCGGATGAGTTCATAAAAAGCCAGTCCTTGTCCGTTCCACCAACTGCGTCTGTGTCAACAACCATCGCGTGGGGCGTAAATGGAGGTGTGTGCAACCAATGCACTGCAGGCAGAGTCAGTTCAAATGAGTGGTTTTTTGTAAGTAGATACAGATTTAAAACTGGATTCACAACGGGTTCAATTTTTTCTTAGCTCGATCAATGCTCCAGATTTGTAACGACAGTACCAAAATTTAATTTCCGTGTAGATGTCGCCTGAATTCAGCAAATTTTTCAAGGTCTGAAGTAGATTAAATTACAGCACATTATCGTTGCAGTCTCCAGAACAGTTAATGATTAACAAATTGAAGGAAAATGTCTCAAGAGAAAATGCTGTTCAGAAGTTGGAATCTGCTCATGGCGACATCTACAAGCGGACAATGACTTAATTCTTCATTGAGTTTCAGGCTGTGGTTGAGAATATGAAGATGATTTTGTAGATGTCGCTTGTGCGTATGGTGTTTGTTGACCCTGTTGAGAAAAAAAAAACAAGTACAGAAACTTCGTTGAATTAAAGAGGTCATCATGTGAAGTAATATTGATTGTTGAAGTTGGACATGTTTTGAATCACGCAAATCTTTGAAGGAAACCACTCATTTTAACTTACTTGATTTTGGACGCATTTTCATCTGGCGACGCACCTGAGGCAGCCTCCCACACTTCAATGGGGCTTACGGTTGGCATTTCCTCGCCAGTGACATTTTTGTAGATTTCCGCGGGTGTAGGCACACCTGGTGGTACTACAGCCTGCTGCGCAGCCAGAACACCTGCGTAGAATATCAGACCAAGTATTGTCAGCTGAAACATTCATCAAAGGCAGGACGCCATCTTTGCGTATTGCTCTTGCTTGCCACCAAGCTGTGCTGCATTGAGTAAATTCAATTAAAAGAATAACAGTAATGGAGAATAAATATTTATTTCTGGGAAGTAGTATACGCGTATCCCCGCCGGAAGACAAGGACGCCGTGGTATGGAATGCCAAGTCCTTGTCAGACATCATCTGAACCCTTTCCCCACTTCAACAGGGTTTTTTTTCTTCCTTCATCTTAATTGTAGGCCTAAAATTTCACAAGTGTTTCTCAAAGAGCTATAAAATGTGATGATACAATATTTTGTGGTTACCAAAGCCTGGAAATCCTGTAGTACAGCATTTTTATGATGAAATTCAATTCACATTTTTCAGTCCAGTTTCTTCATTTCAAGGTTCACGATAACTTGTGGGATCATCAGGAAATGGAAGACACCGTGACAGGTTTTCCTTCGGATTTCGCTTTCTTATTGCTCTTATGACATGAAATGGTCTTGAGGTTTATAGTTGAGATGCCTGAGCATTAGTCGTTTCTGCTTAGTCTTTTCAAAGTGATTGTCGGACTGGCCAAATTTTTTGGCATGTTCGCTCTGGGGTTCTATGCGGGAGCAGTAGCAAATCAGAACTATGCCAGCGAAGTGCCCAAGGTCCTTACCCCGGTTGATTACGCTGAAAAGATGCGCAAGTTTCTTGACGGCAAGTGACTCCATAATGGATGCACGATTTTATACAGTTTCCAAGTCTGTTTATTCACCTGTCTGGTTATTTGAGTAATGGGGTAATCAATCATTCATTCAGTGAAATCACTGAATCACCTGTTTTTGTACCTCAGAATGGATGAGATATTTTGGCGGCGTTTCTTATATTTTTGCTAACTTTTTCTATCCTCGCGGAGAGAAGCACACTTGTAAAATTTCATGGCCGTACTCATGCTGGAACTACTGAACATTCTTGATATTGTACTTAATTTCAAAATGTCTTGGAATTTGTGAAGCGGAGAAATTATTTTCTTGCAGCATTTTTGAGAAATCTGAGCCCACTTTTATTTCATTTTTCATTACACTTTTAGCGGATGGCCTTGAAATGGCTGAATACGATCCTGTTCCAGCAAACTTTTTCCATGAACAGATTTTGTAAGTATGAACTGCAGCAGTTTGCAAGATATTCGAACGATGCAAACAACATTCAGTCTTTTCCTAAACATTTCTTGCGAATTTTTATTATTTTTTATTTCAAGAAATAAATGTTCGCATGCACTGAAGATTTGCACGGTTCATTTCAGTAGCGTACTTGGATTTTGGTTGCTGTATCCCCTTCGAATTGGCATGGCCAAAGGTTTATTTCACAAATTGGTCTGATTAGTTCGTACATCAGCTCATCTCATGTTAGGGTTCCAGAAAAGGAAAAAGTGACTCCTGTGTGATTCATAGCATTTTTATGATTTGTTATAGTGGTGGTAGATGTCACTGGTAGTCAAAATACGTTTGGTACATTGGTACAGTATCTCTTTTAAATTGAGTCATCATTTCTGCGCGATAGAATCCAACTACCGTATCATGTTGGAGATGATTGGGTTTTGTTGGATATTGTGGGGAAATAGAGGTCTAGGGAAGAGATTTCGGATTTTAAAGATTCTTTTCAAAATGTACAATTGAATTCGACGAAAGCGTGAGTTTTAACCAAGGTTTGAGACGAAAAATCCGGAAGTACATCGCCCAGAAGTTTCTGAGAAACTTGCGCTGTAATATTTTGCGAAGAAGTACTGTTTTACGCATTCTAAAAAGCGCGATTCCTTCCGTTCCGTTTCGTGCGTGAGGAACGTGGAAAAATCTACTGTATATGCCATTTGTTATTGGTTTTTGTTTTCTCAGTAGAATGGCTGAATAGGATTGATGCATTTCTTAATTTTTATTGAGTCATTTGAGACGTAACGAGAAGTAAATATTTTGCGCTTCATGACATGTCCTGCCATGCGTACAATATTTTCATTAGGCTGCTCGTGATTTCAATACAAAAATTCATGTTGAACAATTTTTAATTGATCTGTACCCTGTTTACAGTACCAGTTCATGCGAATTCGGAAATCCTTTCAAGATGACCTCGTTAATTCACCTATTTCACTTTTTTTTTTTCTTTTCAAGGTACGAGTACGATGCATGTACTTTTTGTTCCCGTTGATAACCGGGGGAGCCTGGGCTTCAATGGGCGACAGGCTTCGTGTGGACGAAGACGTGGTTAATTTGAATACCGATCTTCATGCTATTCACGAAGCACTTGTAACCGTTCTGCCTCCGAATAAAAATGACGTGAGTATCTTGTTCACTTTATTCTTTCGAAAGTTACACTTTTTAAATGAGAAAACCGTTTTTTCCTAAATATTTATTGAATTTTTACGAATACAATATGATTCGTTTTTTCGCGTCAGCCAATTTCACGTATATTTTTTTTCTATTTGTGTTGTCATTGTTTTCACTCCTTTGATTTGAACTCAGATTCACACGGGAAACGATTGATATGACTTGGTAGAAAAGTAGAATGATATCCTTTGATGGTTTCCTTTGCAACGGGTGTCTGATTTCTACACGCTGATGTAAAAGAAAGGCAATCGGTTGTCCAATAATTACATTTTAGTATTGATTTTGAAGCTCCTGCTTGAATTCAATCTCTTGAAAAAGATTTGTCTCGTAATATCAACAGTTGAAGAAATCTCAACATTCCACAGTTGTTCTTCAAACCTGACATCTCCACTTGCAAACCTTCAAGACCTTCTAAAAATCGGAGGTGATCTGGTTCTTGAAAGAATTACTGTATTAGAGAAGGTTTGACGTATTTGTCGTGGTAATGACACGTTCTTGAGAACTGTAAAAGAGCATGAAGACTTGATCCATGCTTGATATGTAAGCTGTAATTTTGCTGTCATTGATTGTAGCAAAATTGGTGGGTGATCTGTATTCTAAAACTTCTCCACCTTCTTCAAACTTTTAGGGAATTTGAATATTGCTTGAAAATTTGAAAAATCTAACTAGGTACTGTACTTTCAAAAATCGGACGCTCTAAAATTCATGGTAAACAAAAAATCAATTCCCATGGTGAGAGATTTACGGAGTTCCTGGATGTGATCGTGATGGTTTCGTGCGATCTGGTGTACGTCGTTGTGTAATGACTCTGCCGCTTAATATCTTGTTTACCTCGATTCACACGGAGAAGAACAATTTTATTTTACGGAAACATTAAGAAGGATTCGTATGATACCGTTCGACCGATTCTCGTTATCTTATTGAACGCTGAAACCTTCATTCGTTGAGGATTAGCCGAGTTCCTGAATGCCATCATCCTGTTGTTGCAGGTTGTGATTGCCGTTCGATCTTCAATTTTCGCGTCTTGAATGTTTTGACCCGTTCGCTCGTTTCTTCCTTCGGTTTTGATCCTCACGAAAAATAGTTTTAATCCTATTATAACGTTCTCGAATACTGTACTGCGAACTCATTTTTTTCTTGAATTTTGAGAGAAAGAAACTCGGCGCCAGTTATTAAATACCGTCGGACCTTTTTTTTTTTTTTAAACTCGAACCTCCGTAAGTCGAAGATCTCTTCAATTTCTCTTTTCTAGCCGTTTTTCAGGCTCTTCAAGATAAAGTCTCATGAACCTTCTAACTCGAAAATGTTGAAGACAAGGAAGGACAGGTAATCCAAACCTTAATGCTTTGCGTAAGGAAAATTAGTAGCTTTAATTGATCCATAAAATCCTGGCGTGAGGCTCTGCATCTTGTAGACTCATTTGTGCTTCAGTTTCCTGCGGCTAGCCTTTTTTCTGAGGTTGGAAGAATTGTGGGAATTTTTTCGAACACAGTACACATAGCTGTAGCAAAAAAATTCAGTCACAGTACTGTACTTCTTTTAAAACATACAGCAAGTATTTTCAGACCTAGTTTCCCTATCCTCCCTCACTCGAAACCTCTCTAAATCGAAATATTTTCATTTTCGAATTTGACTTGAAGAAGTCCGACTGTACGAACTACGACGAAAAATAATGTCTGATTTTCAGCATGAAAATAATTGTGTGTGTCGCTCCCATCAAGTATTGAACAGATACCGGAACTTCGTGTAAATATCGGAATGAATTCCGAGAAATCCGTGCATGTGTCCCGGTGTGTATTGCATTAAGCTAGCCTTGAATAATCGTCTCCTTTGATGGTCGTGTTGACGATTATAGTTTTTAAAGGCGTTTATTCGCCAACGATGCGTTTTGGGACATGTTTTGACGTGGTGGTCATTTTTAACCGCGGTCTCGGTTTGGGTGGATAAGAATTCCCGCTGTGGAGTGAGTTCACGTTTTGTTATTTTCAATGGTAGTTGAGTCATGGCCGTGAAATATTACTCTACTCAACGGCATTCGATTTGGGTGTTTTACCACTTGAGTTGAATTTTTAAAATGATTTTCAATTTTATAATTTTTGAGCGGAAAAGGAAAAAATATGAAGTTGAAGTTAAAAGACGGGACTTGAATTTATAACTCAAAGAGGCATTACTGTATGTCTGTACAGTATAACTCCGTTTTTTACTCCAAATGCTATGACAAGTTATGAATAAAACGAATAATTTGTAATCGTCTACCATGAGTGTCCAAATCATAAAGTCAGCTTATCTGCGAATTTTCCTAAATTTCGGGAAAGAATTAAATGAAAATGTGACTGTAAATGAATCAGCACTCGAAGAGGATCCCTTAATATGCCATGTTCGTTTTGAAATCTTTGAATGATGGCGTGGATTGTGAATGAATTAATATTGATTTGCGTGCCACATCACCCAAGTTTCTATCACCTTTTATTCATCTTTCCAATCGAAGTCGAATGAGTGCCAACAAAGTCGTGGTCACGAAAATGCTATGGAACACGGAGATCATAAACAAAAATAAATTTATTTCGCAAGGCAATCGAAGACGCGTGGGTTATGTGGGGGAATTCGTAATAGCTTGATAAGATACCGTGTCAGTTCGAAAAATGTTGTCGACTGAAGCATTTCATTGTAAGAACCACAGATGGACGTCACATTACCCGATTTTTCATCAGCGCATTATCATTTTTCAATGAAGGAAAACTAATCTGAAAAAAGGCTGAGTAGAAATAATTTTCCTCTTCTTGTCCAAAACCACATCCAAGAAGAGATGCGTGCTGCTTAAAAAGTTTGCAACAATTCTGGTGTGATTTTTTTTGTGGCATTGTTCATGGATTAGCCTGTTGGGGGAAAAAGAGTTCGGTTTGTCAGTTACGAGGGTTGTAAAAGGGGACGCAGAGATTATGCGTGTTGTAGGACCAGTTTTATCCAATTTAAAGGCTTCACGATCATGAGATGTTCCTGGATTCTAAGTGCCTCTGAAGTCAAGAATAGGTTTTCATTCGAATGTAAAACGCGATTCAATTTATTTTGATTTTTTAGAATCAGGTGAATGTGCTTATTCTACTCATGATGCAATCACCAGCGTTCAATCTCTCGGAAGAATACTTGAAAAAAAAAAGATTCTAACTGTTGCTATCGTATTCGTAGCATCAAATTATGGTTATGTGTTGAATACATTTTGGACGTATTACCGGTGGACTCTCTACAACGAAATTTTAGGACCAGGAAAAATCGTTCTTGAGAAAATTCCATTGCAAAGAACCCCTGTAACACGGGGATAGAAAAGCAAAAAATAAAATGTTTGAACAGAGAGAATCGTTGTGGATAGAGACCTGTACAATGTGTGTCCCAGTTGGACGCGGCGTCTGATATTTTTATAGGAGGTGTGAACCGTGTGATTGTGAGAAAAAAAAATCCATGGCATAACCCATGATGTTCTGGGGTTCTGGAATTTTTTTCGGGTTAAAAACAGTTGTTCAATTTTCTGCGTGATGATGAGCGAAAACTTTTCAGTTACTGCCAGAGTTCTCCTCCGTGTCACAGGGGGCTACAAAGTTGTCAGGTCAGCTAACAAAATTTAAATTTGTCTTTTGTTTTGCTCATTTTCTTTTCTTCATTTTAGATTATGGTTAGAACAACAGCAAATTCAAACTTGTTCAATCTATTTGTATTAAACCTACTCCAGAAGTAACATAGGCCGCGTCAAACTGGGACAACCCTCGTATTAATTCGAAAGATTGTATTGTTCAGGAGCGATTATGCCTTTTACCTGCGAATGTGAGATGATATCATGTGAAGTACTGTGGAACACTGGAATATGAGACTCACCCTGATTCGTCAAGGCCAAATTTATCGTGGGGAGGAAGGCCGTCGTATATTATTGTCAAATCGGCATTGGTACAGTAGTAGTACAGTTGTACTGTAATAGTGTTTTGGAACACGAAGCACGACCTCGCTCGTGGCTGGAAATCCCTATTGGCGGACTGACTCAGGTCGACTGTCGATGTTTGCGTCGTCTTGGCCTTTTTTCAGTACGTGCTCGGCGGGCTCGGTCAGATGATGTCAACGGTGTTGGTGCGTGGTCTACAGTGCATACCGTACATGGAGTCGACGGGGATTCGCAGAATGTCGCGGAACATTCTCTCGCTGCACCAGAATTTATGCAATTTGACGCAGAACCCGGAACTGGCGTTGGATCGGGCCCGGCTCTATTATGAAATGCTCCACCTGTCGCCTCACGTGAGTCATGAGACTGGTTTTCTTTTTTTTTTTTCTGGTAATCCCATCCCGATTCGCTGTTGTTCGGCGTTTTTACGAAGAATGTGTGAATATTATTCACATTTATTTTATTTTATCTAACATGTGACGCCTTTTTGTGATAACGCATCGCATGTGAAGTAATTACGTGGATCATTCATTCCATCATTCCTCTGTAACATTCAAGTGCGATGGAAAAAGTGGTTTTTTTCACCGCTAAGGAAATACATTACTGATGGAGTTCTGGCTGATGTAATTTCAATTTGAAAATAATTAATAACACCTCCTTTAGTTTCTTCAAAAATACTGTACGTACTTTCAGACGTTTCTTTTTTGGTCTGAGTGGAGTTTCTTAAAATATTATTAACTAGCACTGTATATTATTTATACCTTTCTGTTGCAGAATATCCCTCTGATTATCTGGGCTATAATAATTGTCATTTGCTTTACCTAGGATAATGTAGTAATGTTAGAAAGGGTGAAAAGCTGGTTTTTTTATTTAAAAACAAGGGAACTGGATGTCGGACATTCCCGCAAATTTTGAAGTACTTTATCCCGGACTATTCAGGCTATTTCGAGAAACATGACGCGACAAGTTCAAATTTCGATTTATGCTGACAGTAACCAAATCCGAATTCGTTCATGGTTAATCGCTAAGGGACATGAGAACCAATTTTAACATAAAACGATTTGTTCGAACTTGAATTAAACTGAGGAACCGTGGGAACAGTTTGGTGACACGTTCGCAGGTGGAATTGAAATTGCAAGCCCAGGACATCAAAGATGAATCAGAAAATAACCCTGTCCTTTTCTGCACTCCTTAAAATTTTTTTTACGTGCCCTCAAGAGTTCATATTGCTTCTATTTATTTTTTGTAATCTTGTAACTGCTTTGAATTTCTTCTTTTTAAAAAGCCTTCGTCTTAAAGCAGTATTGTTGATCCGGGTATGTCTGGCCTGTCTCTTCGCAAAAATATGAATTTAGGAAAAATATATTATATTTGATCTGATGTGTAGTGTTTATTTCTCTCATTAGGAGATATTGGCACGGATCAGACAGCAGGGACCGAAGTTTACCGAAGCTGAGTACTTGGCAGCGTTCAATGTGTTGGATAGTGGGAGAGGAATTTCGCGGGATAATTCGCGACTTCGGCATTACAAGTCACAGTTGTCCGAAATCCTCGGTGAAGTTGGTGTGACCGTCTAAGAGCATCCTTCTTCGTAGCACTCGTTCGTTTTTCCTCGAACGGTTGTGGAAAGGGCGAAAAAAACCAGATGTGATCGATCATAACATCTTGCAATGTGATAATATCTTTCGATTCTAACATTCTCTCGTGAAACTCTTGCATTCCGGGCTTGTACTTACTGGTATTGCTTCGATTGTTTCAATTATCTCGGAAACTTAAAGCGAGAGCGAGAAATTATTCAGCTTTGAATCGCTGCATTCCAAGCCGTTGACTTGGTAAAAATTCCAGTTGTTACGGCTGTGCGGCTCTGAAAATTCGGTGGAGTGTGAACGTATTGAAGTCGGCTGAACATTTTGTGTGATTTCGTGCAGCTTGCTGCTACGGGGAGGCGTTTTTTTGTTGGATGTTGCGACGAGGTAAAATACGCAGAATTTGTTGACGAGTCGTATGCGCTTGAATTAGTCACGAATTCAAGGCATGCCGGACTTACCATGGTGGAAGTTTGATGAAACAGACTGATATTACATTCGTGGCTGGGCCTTTCCTACACGTGGCGGCGGTACTTATATTTCTTACCAGTACTTTATGCGCTGAAGAAAGTCCTTTTACTGACGTTTTTTTGCTTGGATTTATGCTTCATCGAACGCAGACTCTGGGAGGTTTCGAGAGCGTAACTGAGAATAGTTGTGAATTCTGATGTGGGATTTGTTCGTCCGAGTGGAACTAACCGTGATGAATATGTGAAAAAGTGCAAGCGCTTCTGCTTCCGGTGAGTGCAGTGTAACCGACCAGTCACTATGCTTTTGAGTCATTTTTCCTTCTTCGAAAAACATCGCCATTTTCTCTCCGAATATCGATAAAAGATCATCATACTTACCCGTGTTTACTCGAGTACCACTCGCCCTTAAGGAAGACGAGCGCCATGGTTTTTCAGTCAAAAATTGTCCTTCGCTTGTATAAACTCGAGTGAGACTCGCGCCCAATCTTTAGGGACTTCGAAACTACAATATTTTAAAAATGAGAACACCCAAATTTCAATTTAGACGTAGATTGATCCTGAATCCGGCTAATGTAATTTTCAATTACTGTATTTATATTACAATAAGTTTTCCCGTTAAAATTGGTCCAAAATTTCTCATTATGATCAAATGTAATGCACACCTAAACCTGTAATTTTTTTTCAATTCTTACCCAACTATGACGCTCACCCTTTTTTCTCCTCAATTTTGAGAAAAAGGTACGCATGGTACTCGAGAGTAAATACGGGTACAGTATATTTTATTAACGTATCTTTCTATGTACTGAATTAATTAAAGCATATGCATTTGGGTTACTAGATGCGGTTCAGCATCAATTTGTTCAAAATTTGTAAGCGTATGAGCAATCGAATTTTCTAAAGCGTTATGTTTTATAGCAATAAAGTCAGTAAAAGTTTCAAGATTTGAAACTCACAGCTGCATCGACAGATTATAACAATGCAGCATTTGGAATTTCTGCTTATTTTATTTGATTTAAAAAAAAATTGAATGAATGGCGTACCGAGTTTACTCAAGTACCACGCACCCTTGATTAATATGTGCACCTGGATTTTTCAGCCTGAAATTTGGACCTGTTCTTCAGTAAGACATGCACCCAATTTTTGGTGATGGAAAGACTCAGCAATATGTTGAAAGTAAAACGCATTGGTGTTTGAATTTTTAATTGCATTGAACGTGAATCAAATTAATTTTCATATGTTACCATTGTTTGAAATTATTTGTTGAAATGGTTCAGAGGTTCATGAAGTGCGCCTGAACTTGCACCTAAAAGCAATTTTTAAAATTTTTTCTCTGTTTATGACCATGCTCCCTATTTTTCTCTTAATTCAGAAACTAAGACGTTTTTTTATTCAAATAAATACAGCTTTTCTCCAGCAGTAATCTGAGGGTCGGAAAACAATTTTTATGCGGAGACTGTAATTGCGGAGAAACTACTTATGCGTTAGAATTTCTAAACAAAACTCATTTATATGGAGAACATCATTGGTGAGGAATTTTACCTGCATTATGCGATTTAGAGTATTTATGTCCTGAATTCTGAGAGCTCGCATTGAGGAACAAAAAGATTCATTTATATCGTGTAATGACTTTTGAACTCGCAACGGG